ATTTCAGCAGATCCAAAGGTCCCTGGAGTCACCACTGCCTCACCCGTCTATAAAAACATGTAGAAATCTCATGTCATGGTTTATTTGTGTGATGTGATGTGTAACTTACCCTGAGTGGATGAAATATAACTTTATATAACTACACACATCACTTTGAATAACACTGTGCATATGCAGACACGACAGTGTTGTAAAGCACTGTAAAAAAAATTGAGAAGCTTCAAGTTATTGTTAACATAAATAAGGAATAATTTATATCTTTTTATATACTCCTCTGTTACTGGCTTCATAATGTTATTTGTTATTTTTGACATTGAGATCTCAAGATTGTATCAAAATGTATTTAGTTAAAGGTGCACTGTGTAACTTTTCTGGTAGAGGGGTCCACCACCTGCTAGCCAGGCTGACGCCACCTAGTGCCTCCACTCAATTTCATTTCTTTCCAGTGATTAGGTCAGGAATCAGAATACACTAGACGATTTGCAAAAACCCTGGGAGTTGTAGACCGCGCACCAGCCAATCAGCGAAGAGCTGTGAAGGCATGATGTCAAACTCAATCGCCTGTCTGGGTCCCTTTTGTGGTGCAGCACAACAGTAAAAAGCGGTCAAGATGGATGTAGACGAAGACAAACATTCTGTGTTGGCAACGATTCCTGAGATCGAGGATTTAAAGCTGAAACAAATAGAATGTTTGGTGAATTTTATCAAGGGGAAAGACGTTATTGCCCTTCTTCCTACGGGATTTGGGAAAAGCTTGATATACCAGTTAGCAGAGGTGGGACCAAGTCGCTGTTTTGCAAGTCTCAAGTAAGTCTCAAAGTCTTTGACCTCAAGTCCGAGTCAAGTCCCAAGGCAAGGACTGGCAAGTGCAATTTGAGTCTCGATTCACTGGCCCATAAGTCCAAGTCAAGTCCAAGTTGTCTGCTTTGAGCTTCAAGTCATTTTGAGTCATTAAAGTAGATTTTTGCAAAAAGAAAATCATACAATATTTATATATGAACATTTATAGAATATGTAAGTGTTGCAGAAATGTTAATTTATCCTTTTTAAATGTCTTGACAAGATCTTAGTGTGAATCATTTTGGTCAGAATAGAAAGAATTCAGATTTAAAAGTGCTTCTCAAGTCCTCTCAAGTCACAGGCCTCAAGTCCGAGTCAAGTCCAAGTCGAGTTCCAAGTCTTAATCCATTTTTATCAAGTCAAGTCTGAAGTCCTAAAAATAGTGACTCAAGTCTAACTTAAGTCCAAATCACGACTTGCAAGTCCCCACCCCCTCACTTCTTCACAGATCTGACATGTAACTTGGCTCTATGGCGTCACCTGCTGGAAAGTGTAATGCCATACACTGGAATATTTCAGGCAACATCTTGGAAACTGACCTTCCACCAGAAAAGTTACACAGTGAAGTTTTAACTTTCTGACATAAAAGGTTGAATAATTTCAGTACCTTTTTTTTTTTTAACATAAATTCTTTCTTGTCCACTTCTTAATGATTGATTGCTCCATCGCTGTCACAAACTCTTCTCCGTCAGCTCTGCATTTTAATTAATCTGTCTTGATGATGGTGTTTGTCATTCACTTTCACATAATCTATGAATAGTGTCCAAAGGCTAATACTTTAAAAAAACAAAATGGTGCAGTCAACACTCTAGGGCCTTCTCACAAAAATTAGAATATGGTGTTTGGGAAGTAGGTAGATAGTTTAGTCCTGCCTCTATGGATTGAAGTGATTAACAGTTGATCCACACTGACTCACTACACTATGTAATATTATCAGGGCACATGTTAATATTTGAGAAGCGCAGTACATTTCCCTCATGATCAATAAAGTATTTATCTATCTGTTAAGGCTTTGTGTGACTTATAAGCAGGCAGTAACATAACATGGCATATGGCTTAGCTGTTATATAGAGGCATGTTCAAAAAAGGTTGAAGTTACTGGTGGCAAACATGATAATGTCTAAATGTGTGACAAAAGCAAGTGGGTTAGAATACAGTATATGGTAAAGATGCTGAGGCTTTAAAATGAGCAGGATGTGCAGGGACAAGATCAAGAACAATATTTGAAGAACACATGGGGCTTTTTGGTGGTATTTTAAACTAATTAAACTATAACATACGTAGATCACCATTTTATATTTCGTTTCAAACTGAAATGTTACTCAAATGTTACCGTCAGCCATCTTAATTGAAAGAGGTCTATTGTCTTTCTGTTCACTGTAACAAGCCTCATATTTTAATTGGCTACTACGACCCAATTTTTCTTTTTTTTATTATTTATTTATTCATTTATTTTTATCACGATTCTCAACTAAGTACAGGGCTGTGAGTGGAGATAAGGAATGGGTGAAAAATTCATTTTTCTGAGCCTCAAATGCAGAATACAAAATTACTCAAACGTGCATCAATTAATCTAAATACAACTCTGGGTAAAGTAACGATGATGAATTAATGTTATAACATGATTTAAAGCTCATAAAAGTCTCTCCCTTTAAGAAGCGATAAAAAGACCCAAATGAGCCAAGTGCTGTTTTTATCACTGTTGGTAAGGGTTATTTTTTTCTCTTTTCCCCAGCTTGTCTCAGGCCCATAACGAGTTCATGGTAGTTCAGATTTGACCGGAAGCAAAAAACTTTACAAGAAAAAGATGAGCGTTCATGGGTGCACTTGCTGACGTCACACACGCACAAGCCCTGCACGGCCACTTTCTCCTGTCACGCAGACCTGAGTCCAGTCTATTCAAAGCCTCCACACAGAGCGGAGCCAGAGCAGAGCAGCGGCAGTGGTGAGCGCTTCTCTTGTGTGAATGTTCAGTCAGAGCTCCTCCTGGGACCACCGCGCGCAGAGGAGGAGGAGGAGGAGGACAGATGCGGTTCATTCATCATTTATCTCATCGCTGCTGCCACGTGTCTCTCCCCCCGCTTCTCTCTATATTCCCCTCAGTGTCACCGTCCCATGGGTCCTCCCTCCCGCACATCATCAAGCGCCCTGGCATCCGTGCCACATCTGAGCGATGATCAATGATATTTAATAACGAGGAAGCCGATTAGAGCATGCGTAAAAAGCCTCGTGCGGTTTACAAAGTGCAGATTAACTGTCTGTACAACTTGATATTGTTCACTAATGTTTCTTTGTTTTTTGAGTGTTTTTGTTTTTTGTTTTTTTATCCGATAGCCTATTATTGTGACATTGTGTGCTTGAAATAATGGCACAAACTAGAATTCATGTTTAGTTGCAGCGCACGGTTTTTGTATTATTATAACAAACGTGCGTCCACATGCGCTACTGCTGACTGAACAGGTATAGACAGGCTTACAACATTTCATTATTTATTATTTAATAGTTGATTCGTGGATAGATAGCGCCACATTTCCAGAACTTTAAAAATCATCGCTTAACAGCCTGCTTTTCAGCTGACTGTCTTCAAATTCAATAAAAAGTGACCAATTTAATCCTGGCCTAAAAATATTTTCTTGGAGAGATGTTTATACTCCTAATTGAAGTTCTATTCGTGCATTTTCCTAGTGACTTCAATTGGAAAGCTGCGGAAGTCTCCTCATTATTTAAAAACTAGCGGCTTTAAACATCCGCTCGAGTTTCGAGTCAGCACGCTGATTTTACACTACAGATATAAATAGCTGTTGTTTGATAGTTAACTCTCCCAAGAGAATCACCGCTGTTTGCGTAATGATCCCGTATCCACCTCTGGGAATAAATAATCTCACAGCGTAGGCTTTCTCTGGCAACCTGGAACTTTTACGCTGTTTTAAAAGTAAGGATGCGTGATTGGTGTGGAGATTTACGCGCAACTTGAAGCGTAATGAGTTAAGCATAAAATAGTCCAGCCTACACATCACTATGCACATCACAGACTTTACACAAACACAATACAACCAGAAACATCAAAGTCAGAAATCTACTCACTCAGAAGAAGTGCAACAGGCAAGCACAGGAGACAGGTGGAGTTCACAAAAGATGCCATGCTGGTCACGCGTGTCCAAGTAGCGGAGATCCGGTACAACGTGTCTAGAGCAAGTCCGGCGCACGGTCCCGTCCCGAGCAGCGCTGTGGTCCTCCCGGTGCCCGCTCAGCCGTGTGTAGTCCGCTGCGTGTGAGTGGATCCACCGCGCGCTCACACTGAATGGGGAGGGCGAGTCCAAAGCCAGGAGGAGGAACACGAGAGCATCCTCAGTCTCAGCCCACTCCACGCTCTCCAGAGACGCGCGAGGAGGCGGAGGAATCGCGGCGCTTGGACGGAGTGTGTAGTTTTTCCACTGACCATATGTGGTAGCTTAAAATACTACAACACGTCAAGGGGGCGGAAAACAATACCTGTTTAGTATTCTTTGAGACTAAAGACCTCTACCTTTACATGGAGCAGAGGCCATTTATCATCTGTGACATTGCGGTCCAGATGCGTAATAACTTCACGCGTAATAACATTTGAGCTGGGTTTGTTTTACTCAAAATATATTTATATATATTAAAAAACGGTTGTCCAAAGAAAACCAAATACCACTGATAATAGTATTTTTTTAAAATTCTTCCTCATTTCCAAATTTAATCACACCGCATAATTGTTTAGAACGTAATTATAATCTATTTAACAGTATACAGCCAGTGTCAAAAACGGATCTTAAAGGTGCACTGTGTAACTTTTCGGCTGGGGGTCCGTCATCTTCTTGTTTCTATGGATATACTGAATCAGTGCTCTGCTTAGAATGTTCCACAATATGACATTAAACAGCTCTACTTTACGTTTATTCAATAATTATAGCTCCAAAATACCAAGAAAACTGTGCATTCTGACTGTGAGCAGGTTTGCCTTTCCACAGATCTGACCTGTAACTTGGTCTGCTTTGGTTTCCATGATGATAGAAAGGTTTAATGCCATACTGTGGAACATTCCAAACAAGGCAATAACATCTCCATGAAGAAAGAGAAGTTACATTGATGCACCTTTAAACTAGGTTGTGCTCAGTTAATGAAAAGACAGAAAATAATGAACACTTTTTTTTTATTCCAAAATGTTTAGGATAAAACAAACTGTAAAAGTTACAACAGAAAATCAGTTTTATGAACAGAAAGACGCAGTTTTAAGATTCAGTTGCATCTGTGCACATGGCCTGGGACACGCAAAAACCCAGAGGACTACCAGAGCAGTGAGTAGTTCAACACAAGAGTGCATGTACAGTTTGGAAAATACGAGTTACCTTCAGCGCTGCGATTTAAGATTGAACCGTTTATTTCGTTTTAATGACAAAACAGACCGCTTGGAACCTAAAGGGAGATGTCTCGTAACATGTCTCGCGTAACAAACTAAGGATTATAATCTATGCAAATGAGACAATACAATAAGGCACTTGCTAGACAAATCCAATGGAACTGACTCAAACTTGAACGACACGGCGTCCATCAGCAATAAAGTGGTCACCCTGCCGTTAAACTATGATCTCTGCACGCGAGCTGTACAAACAATATCTTACACAACATGAACAAATAATGCTTCAAACCTAAAGGCTTGCTTAGAAACTGGAGTCTGTAGAAGCTGCAGGACCAGGAATGAATCGAAAAAAAAAGAAAAAAAATCCAATAATAAGCAAAGCAGGCCGAATCTCTGCAGTCCAACTAAGTGCTGCCTCCTAGAGTCTATTTCACGTAACTGCGCATTTAATTCACTACCTTAATCTGAAATAACCTGATAAAAGAATATGATCATGATAACAGTAAGAAGTGTATACTTAGTCTGAAACCTCTTAAAGAATACAAGTCAAATACTTAATGTGAATATTAAAATGGAGCAACATAAGAAGGCGCAGTATAATCTGATTCTCTGGACAGAACTGTACATGGGACGGTTAATACACTGTGCATTGGATCAGAGTGTCGCAAAGGGGATTTCTGTTGCAGGTAAGCCTCAAAATAATAGTTAGGGGGGTGTAAAAAAAATAGCTTTCTTTGTAATGGAAAAAAAAAAAATTGCTATTAAACATCTGGACATTCAGTATACCACCTCAGAATTCAGGTGTCAAGCCCATTAAGAAATAACTGACTCAAAACAACCACAAGATAGCATGGTGGCGGGATTTTTCTGGTTGCTGGGGTATAGTACAACTAGTTCGACGTTGTTTGCTTGTTTATATAAAAAAAAAAAAAGCAGGAGGAAATCTGATATGACAAAATTCCAGATGGTGTTGAGTCTTGAAAACAGCACGGCAGCCTTCACAGACGCAGCAGCGTTATAGAACAGGTCTTGCATCAGTCCCAGCCTAAAACAAAACCTGCTTTATTTGCTGATGTGGACTCGTTCAGGCTGACATTCACAGTCTCTACTAAAGCCAAGAGAGTACGCATTAGAACATAATTCACGTTCTCCGCCTTAAAGATGCACTATGCAACTTTTCAGGCAATTGTCTACATGGAGATGTTACTGCTTTGCCTGGAATGTTCCACAGTATCCCATAAAACGCATCTGTCTTACATTAAGCCAATTATTATTATTTTTATTGCGCAAAAATACCTTAAAAACCTGCATTCTCATTGTCAGTGTAGTCACCTCTCCACAGATCTGCCCTGTAACTTTGTAGAGTCACTTGCTTGCTTCTTTGGAAATGGAAATGTTTAATGGCGTGCTGTAGAAAATTACAGGCAAAACAAAAACACCTCCATGGAAACAAGCTGTTGGCAGAAAGTTACACATTGCACGTTTAAAAGTAAATGAAAGAAAAAAAAAAAAACATCGCCTCCATGGGCCACTGTATTCTTGCTGTTGACATGAATCAGCAGTTCTGTCTTGACCAATGGCTACGGGAGGACGATTTTCACGACCGCGCCATTCTTTAGGTCAAACGCTCAGCTATTTCCTATAATCTAGATGCAAAAAACACAAAGAGGCTTGTAAAATCAGAGAAGTGGATGAATTTCCCCTGTGAGCGCGAGCTGAAGCCTGGGTAGCGCATGTGTAAATGGTCCCAAACAAAAGCTAGTGGTTGACCAGGCCCTGCAGCATCATCATGAGACGGCGGGCCCTCTTGCTCAACGCACTGTGGGGGTCCTGCTGCAGGTACGAGAAGAGCTTGGGCCGAACCTGGGCCAGAACTGATGCCATGTGATCACGGGTCAAAGGGTCGCTGTGGTCCAGATTCATCACAGCATCCTCCAAGTAACTGCAAACAGACAGAGGGAAAGAAGTCAGGTCATTTACAAGGTCATATATTACACAAAATTGACTCTTGTGAGCTTTAAGACATGTTATAATGTTACCTCATCAGAAACATACCTGGAGTTGTGTTTTGTTTCATTCACACGTCTGTCTACATCTCCAAAGCTCAGGATTCTCTGTTCTACCTTGTTTTGTCAAGAAGCAGTAGTTTTCAAGTTAACAGCTTTTTGACATTTAGTTCAGTAGAGATTGGATAATTTGAGCCCTGGAATTGCCTAAGATTGTAGTGAAGATGTATGGAAATGAGAATCACAAGTTGGAACCCAAGTTTTTGTTCTGTTTGAGAGAAGAACTCAGCCCAAAATTTGCAGGATTTGTGTGTTAAAAACATGTGAATGAAACAAAATACAACTCCATGTGTAATAAGGGCAACATTATAACATAGATCAAAAATTACATAAGATGTGCTGATTATTGTTTGAAGTATCTCTTATGCATTTAGGGCTAGTTCTGTATAAGCACAATATAATGACGGAAAGGCATTGTGGGGAACACATTATTGGATACACAATCATTAGTAATGAGCCCGCAGGAGGTCTGGGATGACAAAAGACTCAAACGTACCGGACACCTTCACTAAATGAAAGGGCTGTGAGCACTTTGAAAGTCACGCGGTTTCATTTATTCTGCTCCAAAAAGCTGCACAGGAACAACACGCACTCTAGATGTGTCCCTGGCTCTGACTGCAGGGGACAAAGACAGAGGCCAGTGTGAATGTGGAGCTCTGTCCTTGATCACAGCGCTGGCTGCTGGCCCTGATGTGACTGTAAACCTTGTGTTGTCACCACCAGATTATGGCACAAATTGAGTTGTGGCATCGTCACCTGCGGCCTTCTATCCCACTCCCTTCTCTTAGTGAGTTTAACACAACTAATATTGCCACACATCTGGAAAAAGGGAGTACCCCAATTCTCTGCAAATGCTCTTGTCTCTCCAATACTCCCTTGATTTCCAATATATATGGAGTGATTGGTGTTGATTGAAATTATTTAAATTCCAATATTAGTATTCTGTTGCATTTTGGACAACATGACACACTAGAAAAGCATTTCCCCAAGAATCCAAGAATAATGGTTCTCTGAGTGAAATCTGGGCACAATACTTTCCCCAATGCACAGCAGAGCTTGTGCCTTGGCAGAGATTTGTTGATGTTCTTCAAATTTATGGATTCTTTTTGTAGTGTTTTGAATAAAAAATAATAAAATAATCAAAGAGCTGTAATATTAATTACAATGCCAGCACTTCACAGCAAATGGTGCAGTAAAGTAAATCTAATGAGGAGTATACAGTGAGAGTGATCCTGGGCCGTATGCCTGTCCAGATGGTGTGGAGGCTCAGGGGGCCCACACAGAGGCTCTGTCGGCACATCCAGGCCTGAGCACAGCTGTAAAGGGACCAGGCTCGACCAGGAGCCACTAAAAGGCTGATCGTGGAGGGACAGCCCCCAACAGGACTGCTGAGACCAGATTGATTTAGAGAACTTTTTGTTGTTAAATTGAAGTCACATTTCTAGCAGCAGTTTTATACATCTGTCAGCCTGAACAACAGCCAGTAACTTTTTAAGATAAGTGCTTTTTCTTATCAAACTGTTACTGTTACTATACAAAGCAAGACGACTCAACAAAGCTAGCTTGGCCTAGGATCCTATACATTTAATTGAAATTTAGTGCTTAACTGACTGCTTCTGAAGAAATGTGATAATCTCATTTCATTCCCCTGTGTTATTCCTCTTAAGCAATAGAGGTTTTTTTTATACAGAAGGAGCATGACTGTCCCTGATAGACATGACTGACGGGTAGATTGGCTGATCTAAACCAGAGTCCAGACAACACGTCTTTGTAAACTACAGGAGAAGTGTGTATTCTTGGCAGGCCAGGCAAGTAAAGTCTAGGAAGGAGACACAAAAATCAAAAGGGACAAAGAAATGAAAAACGGTGAGGTCAAAAACACAAGGACAAAGACAGCACAAGCATGTCCAAAAACCAGAGCACTCCCCTGATGAGACCAGAGCGGTGGGCGAGCCAAGTTTGAGAAGCAGAAATAATAAAAATGTGAAAGCGGCTGGTCAGATTATAGCCCTAGGCTTCAGTGGGTAAAAGAGCATCAGTGGGTAAAAGAGCATGTGTGGTCTTTTGTAAAAAACAAAGGATAGACTGGAATCTAACTTTGGTAACAGAGCTTAGCTTTGCCCCCCACTTGTGTTAGACACAATTAAATAAGGATCAATATAACAACAGCATTTAAGTGTACTTGATCCAGACTCTTACTTTAAGCATTTGAATGAGGTCATGAATCTGAATAACTACTTCAGTGTTCCTCAAACTGTGGTACATATACACCTGGAAGAATACGAGCTTCTTCAGTCAAATGTGAGGTCCTTTGCAGATCTTTGTTTATTTTATTTAGCATCATTTCTAATTCTAATTGTTGTCCTCTGGGTTAGTATTAGTGTATTACTCCTCAAATAATGCTCCTATTATAGACCTGATTTAGCCCTCATTTAGACCTGGGATAATCCTGTTTTAGGGCTGTTTTGGATCTGATGGTACAGAGAGCTGAATGATTTCATAGGTTGTACTTTGTGTGAACACTGTCCTGGCAGATGGAGGTTTATGATCATTTGTTCTATGGCAAGTGTATTCTCACCTGATTTTGAGCTCGGAGCGGGTGGAGAGGTTGGAGGAGAGCTGCTGGATGAGTGACAGCAGCACTGGTTGGCTGAGGGGACAGGGGTGCTGTCCAAACACCTGCTGGGAGTCGATGGTCTCACACACATACAACACCAGGTTCAAGTCTGTTGCTGAGAGAGCCTATAGAACCAACAGCAATAAGAGATGTCACTCATTCCATAGTGTATTATTAGGATACTCTAGCAACAGTAAAATAATAATATATAATGACTAACTGAAAAACTGTTGACTAATGATAGCTAGCTTGAGACAGTAATGTTATTTGAGAGGGACTGAAAACCACAGCTGTAGTACCTGCTGAAAGGCTTGGTTGAGTTGTCCCTGCTGTAGGAGCTGGAGGATGTTGGCCTGTTGGGTCTGGTAGTCGAGGTGGGCCGTGGGGACAGGTGTACCGGCTGCTGACCTCATGGCCTGCATGATGCTGGAGGTGACCACTGCCTGCTGCTCTTTCATCGCCAGGCTCACCTCTCCTTTAACAATCCTCTGTACGTGGCTAAGAATAGACTCCTGCAAACTGTGGATAAAAGGCAGCAAGGGAACAAAAGAGGTTAGGATGCACTAAAGACGCACTAACCAGCAGTCAGGTCAAAACACAGATTCGTATTCAAATTTGATACAAATGTCAAAAGGATGTCTTTACTCTGGTTATGAAATAGACCATTAAATGAATGGCGATTCACCAGTATATGCACTCTCTGATGACTGATGGTCCTGAAAACCATATGGTTGAAATCACTATGAAAACTTGATTATAATGACTTGAAAAGTTGGCTGCTTTGTATAAAAATAAAGCTTTAAAAGCTACTTTTCTCACAGGTTATTTTGACATTGCACACATGCAGTACTTCACTAAAGGCAAGAGAATAAGATTGGAGCACGAAGCTGCGACATGAGTGGAACTTCGCTCGTACAGTTCGGGATATGATCGGCTCTTGGAACAGGGGGGATATTTGCTGACTAGGGACGGGCATTCGATGAAATTTTCTTAATCGATAGTCGGAAGAATTAACGATTGATTATCGATTAATCATTAACGTTTTTATATTAAAATGATCATCATTATTATTACTATCTGCACGACTAATCTGCATAAATAAATTAAACTTTACGACATATAAACCGTAACGACTCTAGAGCCACATCAATCCGTTTGAGATTATAATGTGTTTAATTCAGTTTTGCGCAACTCTCACAGAAACTAAATTTAAAACCGCATAGCTAATTTGCATAAAATAAGCAAAGATAAAAATACAGCTCTTGTGCGCTGATGCAGTCAATTTCTGTCAAATTAAAAGACATGATTCAGTGGAATACAGGTTAGTGTGACCATATTTGCGTTTGTCACTCTTCTGAGTGCAGAGAGCTACATGTACGGACCCCTGTTTGGTCACGCTACGCACAGCAACCTACATTCGGTTTGTCGATTAAAATTAACGTAATCGATGAAATTCGTAATGATCAATTATCGATTAATCGACTAATCATGCCCATCCCCATTGCTGACACTCGCCATATTGCTGTTGCGAAGTGTCCCTATATATTTCAATGGAAAATTTCTCAAGTGCTCTGTCTCCTCGTATTAGAAAGTCTTAGTATAAGTATTAGAAAGTTAATACTGTAACACCCACACAGAACACAAGTGATTACTAATCAAAAATATGTATAAACTGAATAAATGAGTGTTCTGTATAAATACTATTGCCCTTATTATAAGTCTGCTTGTATTAAATAAAACAAAACAAAGGCTGCTTTAACTTCAAATTATATTAGGCCAATAAATGAAATACAAAATTACAACACCTCCCCTTTAGTGTTTATTGTCCATGCATGCATCCCCACCATAGTATTTTATCCATAGACATTATTTAGTCCATCCACTTCAGATGAGTTTTAATTTTGTAAATCAGCTTCAAACAATGGTGAAACTTAAAGAAAGCTTCTAATGCCTAGAATATCCTCATTTATAAAAGCGCTAGAAAGTACTGTAGCCTTCACCTGTACCTGCTTGCTATAAATTACCCTTTTTATGTGATTAAAAAATGTAGCTCTGTAACTGTGTGCAAAGCTCAAAACACTTACTTTCCCACCATCATCTGGACCTGGTGCTGGACCTCTGCCCGCACATTAGCAGTGATACTGGTGCTCAACTGCTCAGTGGAGTTCTGGAAGCTGTCAATCATCTGCTGGAGTTGAGCAATCATGGGGTCCCTTGCATCTTGCTCCCTTTGCTTTCTGTTCTTCACGTGACTTTCAAGTTGTTGAATGTCTACAAAAAATGTTAAATCTATTATATATACATTCAATATTTGAAGAACTGTTGCAATGTTTATCTATTATATATACATACACATTGCATTACACACATTAAAAATATGCCACCTGAACATTGCACCATTGCCATTAAATATGTCCAACCACCAAATATGTGTAAACCTGGAGTAGAGTTCAGTTTCTCTACTTGAGGTAGAATTGAGGTCAGACAGATATCATACAGTTGTCAGACCTGTTCTGCTATTGATTGCTCACATAACTGGTGTTTCATTATCAAGTAAGTAATCTATAACTACAACACTATACATAGCAATAATTCTTCTAGGTATACGTTAACACATTATACAATAAAATACCTTGTTCTAAAGACCTTGCTCATGAAAATGTTCAAAACAAGCCCAAAAGGATTCCTTGCCCATACTATTTGTGAATGTCTGGAGGGATGAAATAATACTTACATTCTTGTGTTCCCTGTTTGAAGCTATCGTTAATCTGCTGAAACATAGACTGGCAGCCTCTCTCAAACACAGGAAGCACAACAGTCTGGAAAGCATCTTTATAAGCTGCCTGTATGGATCCCTGCATGGCCTCTGCTGCAGCTCGACCAATAGCATCTGTTGTGTTCTGGAAAATGAATGAAAACAAACACACAACTTTTTATTGCAGTGGCAAGAAAGTGACTTTGTGAAAATTAAGTCCCACTTCGCGCCTACCTTCGATTTGACCACTTTAGTGACATTGTCTTTTAGTGTGACCTCCACAGCGGTCAGTTTAGCAGCAATTGTGTTGTTCATTTGACCTGAAACGGGCTCCAGACTCTTGGAGATTGCTGCAATGGGGAAAAGAAATGAGATAATATTAAGCCTCACAGGGTTTGGACAGGGAAACAGAGGGCCACTGATGTATAAAAATCAACTTTGCATCTTATTTTTGCATGCTTCAAATGAGAGAATTTTTTTCTTTTTTTACATGCCAAAAATCTAACTAATAATACATTTCATATTAGGATAAATCAGACAAAACTGACACTAAAGCAGTAGAGCTTATCCGTACTTTGTGGAATAGTTTTCTTCATCTCTTCCCGCAGTACTCGGTCCATCCTGTTGGTCAGGGCAGAGCTCAGGGTTTGGCTGAGGTGCTGGCTCAGATGCTCCTGCAGCTGCTGTTGTTGACTCTGACTTTCAACAAGCAGCCGCTCCATCCTGCGCTCTGTGGCCACTTACAGTTAAGTAAAAATAAATAAAAGAGGCTTCATAATAAACACCAGTACAAATGATGACAACAACTGTTAAAGGGCCCATATTATGCCTTTTTCTGATTTACTTTATAGTAGTTTTTCCTCATCATATTTTAGCTTTATTCACACGTTTAACACACAAACCCTGCATATATAGGCTCAGTTCTTCTCTCAAAGAGAAAATACTCTGTTCCACCTTGTGATGTCATGTGGTAATACTGGAAGTGCTCCAATGTGTTTTTAAACTCCATACACTTTCACTAGAATCATTTGGGTGTTGTCAGCTCTAAAATTGTCCATTTCTACTGAACAAAAGGTAAAAGTTGATGCTGCTAACTTGAAAACTACTGCTCATCACAAGGTAGAACAGAGCATTTTGAGCGATGTAGAGAGACTGATAATACTGAATAATTACTGAAACATGTGTGAATGAAACAAATCACAATGCCAGTGAATGTTTTTGAGGAGGTAACAATGTTATATCATGGCTTAAAGAGTCAATTAGGTCTACCAATAATACAGAACCTTTAACATGGTTCCAAACTAAACATATGTACAGACAATTAAAACATGTCTTCACGTATCACAGCTTCAAAGACCCATGTAAAAGCACTGATTAGATCTCGCCACTATGAATTCTTAATAAAATATAGACATTTAGACTCAAGAGTGCAACAGCAGCCAAGGAAGGATACGCTCTTGTTCCTGATAGCTGCTCAAAGTGTGCTCAACCTGAGACATAATGGAGCACTTCATGGCTTCAATTTGTCCTCGAAGATCAGTTAACTCCCTCTGCTGGTTGCGCAAAAGCATTAACAGCTCCTCTTGCACCTCAGAATTCACCTGTCAAAAGAAATGTAGTATAAGGTACTTTGTAATCTGCATATATCTGTATTCCTAAATCGGGCCAAGATGTGTTTACATAAAAGTGCCCACTCATGCTTAGTGTCCAGCACAAATGATGATACCAAGTCTCTTTACCTGTCCAGGACTATACTGCCGGAGCTGAGACGATTCCCTGCAAATAAAGTGCAGACTGTTAGTTAAAGCTCACACAGATTATAAAGTGGCCATTGTAACACCCCACCTGTCTTCTTTCTTGTTTTTTCGCTTTAATTTAGGTGAGCTCCGTGGTGAGCCCTTCCATTCCTTCACCTGCATTCTGTGAGCTGAACGTGATGCACAGTTTCCTGAAGACGATGCCAGACTGGCTACCTCATCATCAGGATCACTACAGAAATGGTTACAGAAATAAACAGAGTTAATGAGAAAAGATAATTAGGTAAAAAAGTAATTAAAGGTACACTGCCCAACTTTTCTGGTGAAGGGTCCACTTCCTGCTTGTCTCCATGGAGATGCTATTGCTTTGGCTGGAATGTTCCATGTTATGACATTAAGCATTTCCATCAAGCATTTTTTCACTACGGGGGTTTCCATTTCTCAAAAACACTTCCTTCTGTGAACAGGGGCAGCGCTCCACAGATCTGAGTTGTAATGTAGCATAGCGCTGTAACCTGCTTGTCTCCCTTTTGATAAATGGGTTTAATCTATACAGTGGAACATTCTAGACAAAGCAATAAAATTTCCATAGAGATGAGCAGGTGGCAGATTCTCCTCTAGAAATGTTACGCAGTGCCTTTAATAATGAAATGCATACTGACCTCTGCTCTGTTCCTGGGTCCTGGCTGTCATTTGGAGTGAGATGATAGGAGCGCCGATGATAAGGTGAAGTTAGGTGTCCATCTTTGGAATCTTCTCTTGAACTAGACACACAATGATTTATTACATACTGTCATGTTTACACTGATGATTCATATCTTGTTTGCAAGAAATTACCAGTCTACTATGCCATTGTCCCGAAGACTGTTTCTGGTTTCTCTGGTAATATCAGGGGCAGCTGGCCATGGTGTATGGGCTACACTTCCTTCTGAGGCTCCTGCGCAGACTCCAGGGTTCTCCTGAGGTAGCGCCGTTTCCAGTAAAGACGGAGTGTGACTCAGTCTGTTTTCTGCCTCCGAAGACCCACCCACTGGACCCTCAGCACCTCCAAGCTCCAGGGGCAAAAAGCTGTCACAGAATACACATGAGTTGATTAGCATAGACATTTATATAAAACATGTTTGGTTTGTGCAGAGATATACTGGCTTATGCAGTTGATGCCTTATGCACAATGAATATCTTTGCATTGGCTAGGAAAACTAAGTGCTGATTAGTGCCAAAACTCTCAGTGTTTAGACAAAACAGTGGTGCTGCAATGGCAAAATGTTTCTGGTTAATGTGTACGTACTAGTAAGAAGACAGTGTTGGAACAGAGCACTTTTAGCATCCAAGGGGTCTGAATCATACTGAACATAATTCTAGGCTAGCAAACTCAGTTAAACATGAGTACTCTGGACTTTTCCAAAATCTTCCAAAAGTAAAACACCTGTTGTTGGCAGCCCGTGGTGAGGTGAGCAGGTGCAGTGCAGAAGCAGCAGAGGCCATGCTGTCTGTCTGCAGAGTCGAGAGGGGTAAAGGGTCCATTGTAGACACAAGTCCACGCTGAAGCTGCAGAGTCTGAGATGCGATCTCTGGCATGTCCTGAGACATGACGGTGGATGCAGACGAGATTACATCAGGGGAGCGAGCTCGAGTTGGTGAGGCCAAGGGTGGGAGAAGAGGAGAGTCTAGGACCTGGGGTCCATCCAAAACAAGTGGACCACTGGGAGCCTAGATACAACAAAAGAAAGAATTCAGCCTTAAATGAGCCTTAAAAAGACCGAAGACAAGATGATCCATAGTAAACCTGAATGCCATCCAGTGCAGGAAGAAGTGCAGAGACTGCTCTCGGACTACTGCAGGATGCAGAAAGGCCCAGACTGCTGCTGCTGTTCTCCACTCTGTTTGGACTCTGGCTCACATCATCCAATGCCCTAAATAAAATAGATAACACAAAAAGTGACCTACAGCAGAACACAATGAAGCAAAAAGAGGTATATCACAAAAGCGGGTACCTGTTGGTTGAGTCTGAATTGCTGCTTATAGCAGTTACAATCGTGAGACTGCTTGCACTACTACCAGGTGAAGCAGGAACCTGCAAGAACACAATAAATATAAATCATCACTTACAAATTACTCTTTTAATAACACAATTTTTTGTGATCTACTATATGGACTTGGGTCCTTTTAAAATAATATAAATTAATTGTGAATGGTGTGGATGATGGAAGGTGTATAACTTCTGAACTATTGAACTGCACAGTAAGAACAAGAAAGCAGACACTGCACACTGTGCTGAATTTTTGTATTATTATGGGTAAACAACTGCTTTGGGAGACTGTGTATATTTTGAATTATGCAGCTTCAAGTGTAGCCAGAGTCAAATTTCTTGTTGGGGACCATAAAGTTTATTTTACCTTAGCCTACCTTAACTAAACTGTGACTTCTCTTATGTAGTTAGAACATACTTTTACCAAAAGGACAAATGACAGGAAGGCTAAAGACCGTGTTTTACCCACCGAAGTGCTTGGTGTCATAAAGGCATCAGGAGTCATGAGTTTGGCCGCTGAGTTTGTTAGAAAGTCGGCTGGAGCTGGAAGAGAAGGAATTTTCCTCAGATCAGTCTGGGATCCACTCCCCGAGTCCTTGTCCGAGCTCTGGTCTGTCAAATGGTCTGAAAACCCTACAATCAAGAGGAAGTTAATGACATCTTGATGCAACATTATAATGTAACAAATAGGCATCATTGTGGTGCTGGTGTTGTAAAACAAAGTCTAAACCCACCAAAGCCATCCTGTGAATCTGAATGTGGCAGGAAATCTGCAGGACTAGAACCCACATTTGATTGAAATAATATTTGAACATCCTGTAGGCTCCTGAAAAAAAAACATAAAATGGTATTTATTAGTGATTGAAAAAATACAGAAAAAGATATTGATGAAAATACATTCAATTTCATGAATACATTTTTTTAACTTACTTTGTGTGGACACAGTAGAGTTTAATTTGAATACCGGACTTAGACTCTGCAGCTCCTTGAGAGCCTTCTACAATCAAACCCACCAAGGAAATAAATATTATAGCATATATATTTTGAAATGTTGATTTAAAATGTATATGTTTATATGTATATGAAATATGTTACATATAAGTTGATAGCATCAACACACCTGTTGTCAAACTCTCACCCTCTTCTTCTGCTGGCAGGACCTCGGTATGTCGGAGACGACTCTGTGTCACATCTCTGACCCCAAAGCTGAGCACTGGGTGAGTGAGGAGAAACTCAGATACAGCAGTAAAACTAGCCTTGCCCTTCTCAAGGTCTTGCTCCAACTCCATCACATAGAGAACCTAGCAACAAGCAAAGACATAAATAATCCACAGTCCAAACATGTTAAATTTAAAAATCGCAATAGAAACATTTTATTGTAAATCACACATTTCATCTGATGTATGTTTCATTTAAACATACATCAGCAAGGTTTAAAGCAAAGTTAACTTTTTTTCATCACTTACCTTCCGTTGCACATCAGTGAGAATCAAATACTCAGCAGAGAGGTCTAAGCTCGCCTTAAGACTTGGAAGTACAGTGGAGTTGTAGGGATCTGGGGAAAACCTAAAAAGTATTGAACACCAATCAGTATATATAATCACTTCATTTCTTACACTAGCTTATACAATTTTTGTTCTATCAAAAAGTGAGCAACATACACAACAAAGCTAAAAACATTGAACCATAAATACAATACCTGATAGTCTGTAAACATGTCCAGGACACAGTACACCACATCTTTAACTCCTGGTTCTGATCAGCTCCAGTAATCAGAAAGCGCCAGAATGGAACCCTTTAAAATAAGTAGATACAATTAGAAAAGTCACATTAAATGGCATTAATCTTAATACTTACTCAGGATCTTGTCTCTTGTGATTGTCACAGAACAAAAGACAAGAGAGGGGCTGACCTCCATGGGGCCGTAACTCATGAAGACACCTTGACAACAGAGCAATGACAAAGAGAATTTTTTTTTTTTTTTTTAGAATTTTCCAAAATTTTTTAAGAAATGTAAATAGACCCAGTTTAGGCTTACCTCGGCTTATCTTGTGCACCTTCAATGTAAATCTGCCAGAACTTGATGTATCCGTCATGACTGGCTGTTGCCAACACAGTACCATCTGGGGAAAGTGCTCCTTCACTAACCCTCTGAAAAACATTTGTTTATGCAGCTACTCAAATACCTTTATTTAATCTGAACAATGAAAGGATTCTACCTGTGTATGGCCCTTCACTGTAATCAGGCCTTCTCTGACATCTGATGCATCAATAGGCCATGTGCTGTAGTTAGCTCTCAGAGCTTCAAGGTCCCACACTTCAGCCTGAAATTACAATTCTCAGTTTTAAAAGATGATTTTTGATTTATGACTCAAACTTGTACAATTGGCAGTTACCCTATCTTCATGTAGAAGTGCTAGTGTCTGACTGATGTCATCCTGGTTCTCCTCATTATCATCCAAGATAAACGGGCACCAAATAAGACGACGATGAGGATTCAATGGAGTATTTTCTGGACGGCGAATATGAACAACAACTTCATCCCTTTTGGAAACAAAGGTTAAGGGAAAAAACTCACAAAAAACATTACAGTCAGCGGAGACATTTTAGAAAGTATATTTTGTGTATATATATTTTCATATTCATATATTCATGTATTCAGGATACAGGATTTTGCTGGGTGTGCAAGTGAGCTGCCAGACAACCAGATTACCAGCTTCATCGACACATCCCAAAAGAGAGGAGTCAAGGTGGGCAAAAGCCAGATCTGTGACGGCTCCAGTGAATCCTTTGAGCAGTGCACGCTCAGTAAAACCAATGCTCAAGACACGAATCATTGCATGGTTGTTAGCCCCTGAAGTGAAATCAATAAGTAAATGTCAATTTTACAAGCACAGCACCAGATCAAGGACAGAAATAATAAATATTATCTTACCTTTAATAGCATAAGCCAAAAATGAATTTGAGACGGCTATAAGTCTGCCGTAGTAATATTTGTGTTCCCAATCATACTTTGCAACTGGCTGAATCTTCACCTAAATAGAAAGATCATTTAGATTTACTACTGGAAACAGCCCACATTATTTCTGGTGCAAAACTGGCATGTACAGATCCAGTGCCATAGGACAGCCAACAACAGTGTAAATGTGGCCTACACTCTGAGGGACCTGACAGGTGCTCCTAAACACTCCTCTTTATGTGACAAACCCAAACCCAAAGCGTCTCAGGTACAGTATGTTTTTAATATACATTGTGTGTGAGCTTTCAAATATTGTACTATTAGTGGTGCACAAAAAGCAGCAGTGTTTCCTGCACAAAAGTTTGGACCTGCTTTTCAAATTTAATTTTTTACAGTTTTTGTAATAAATGCAAGCATATTTGCCACTGCAAACCTTGAACATTTTCCCCATTTTGCATGTTTGTTTGGACCCATGTACTGAATTTGCATGAAGCCTTTTGAGACGCAAACCAGAAGTGCACCTAATTTTTTTAACCATATACAAACACTTAGTAAATCTAACCCTTAGTAGAGGCTTAGTTAACAAAAATGTCAATGTGCTAATGTCAGTAGTACTGAAAGATACCTTGTTACTGCCACGAGCTTTGCTGTTGATGCTTGAGTCTTGACTTGCCACTATCTCCACATTGTTAGAAGTGATGGGTTTACAAGTGGACCCATTATCACCAGAAAGGCGGCTGCAAAATAAATTGTATTAATTCATACTGTTTATCAATAACCTGTTGGAAGTCTCTCATATTAATAAAGAAAGCTTACATTATCTGACTGTCCTTGGAGCTACTCATGTCTTGGGAAATGGGCCTGGATAATTCTGTCGTGAGAGAGTGATCAACACTCCCAAGAAGTCCTGCAGCTCCCAATAACCCGTTCAGCTCTCCATTAAAAGAAGATTTCCTCTGTTCATCTGATGACTGGGCATCTGAAGACAGACAAAAATTATTATTTCAGAAACAATACAATTATTTGCACAGAAAAAAGTCACATGTAATATACTTTCTAACAATCGTATTTACTCGGCCATGGCCTCATGGTCACTCAATGAATCGTTGTTATAATTCCCATCAGTGAATGTGTGAAGTTGGACGCTGCTATTACTTCTGAGATGTTTTGAAAAGGTGGGCGTGTCAGCCCAGAATAGTAATATTCAACACGCTTTGATTCATCAACTATGTGCTCATTGCTTAGATGTAATGAAAATGTTCGATCAAAAGTATGTAGTGGCTAACTGTATTAGGCAACGGTTACGACTGTAGTGACTATTTGTCAAATAAAAGTAACAAACAAAAGCACCATGGGCACCATGGGTATGTGGTTTACGCAGTACAAATCAATGTCCATGACAAAAGATGATTTTCCAAGGTTTATTTTCCAGTTTGGGCAAACAACAAGGAATACATGTTTAAGGCGACTCCTGCTGCCTCTCCTCGTGACTGGTAAAAAACCATAGGCCCACCCAGGTGCACTCTGGTCTACGTGTACCACCCTCTTTTATCCCGAATTAAACCAAAAACAAAAAGGAGGTGCTAACGTAAATAATACCAATTTAAACTAAGAAATTAGCAAGAATAATATTAACATAGCAAATATATATTATACAAATTAACAAAACTAAATTAGTAAGCTAACTAACAAACAAAAATAATAAACACATTTTAGAATCAACAAAATAAGCAAATAGCTCCTACAACGACAATTCAATAAACTTCTGATTTAAGTTGAAGTAGTAAAATAAATTAATGACATTTGAGAAGAAAAATAATTACATTAAAACATTTTAACAAAAATAAATTATATAACTGCCAAGTTTGATGATTAAAGACACGTAAAGACAACGTTACAACAGCCCAAGCTAGCTTGGTGGATAGGCAACTACGCAGACACAGCTCCGACCTTACCATCATAATCTTAAAACACTTTTAATCATATGCGCTGCATTTAACAAAGATGTGTAACGTTGTGTTAATAATATGGTGTAGCCTAATCCACAAAGAGTTATAATATACATCAGAGAAAGTTAGCTGCATTAAAACCAATGTAATGTCAGTTCACACGTTTGCTCTGCAGCAGCTTAGCGCGTTAGCCTCCGTTAGCTTGTGTTCGGCCCTGGCGCAGCACTTCTGTATCTACGGCTTTATCCGGAGCTACTCACCAGGGCCGGCGCGGTCCAGCTTCAGGATGTCCCGCAAATGCTGCGTCGCACCCTCAATGTCAATATTTGAATTGGACGCCATGGGCGGTGTAAGGGAGAGGGTTAACAGAAAGGAGATTTTTGTGTTTTTGTGTTTTCTGTTCACTGTAAAGGCTCACCCTGAGCAACCGTCTAAACTTCCGTTACGCCGGCCAACGTGTTCGACACACTACACAGCCTGGTTTCATTGGTTCCTACCATAGACTGTTTGGTTCCTACCTAATTTCCTTCTTTGAATTGTGATTGAATGTAGAATGGTTAAAAGCTATAAGCATCTTCAGCCTGACTCAGACTAATGCACTGATATAGACATGTTTCATTTTTAAATCTCAAAATATCAATCACCAGGTGGGATTTGTTAAAATGTTGTGGAAAGACAGTTACTTGTTTTATGTATTTGTTTATTTTTAGTGAGAGCATCAAGAGGGTTTTTGAACAATCAAGAGTATTATATAAAGTAAATATAGCTTTGTAAGTAAAAATACAATTTGGCTATGTACTTTCACTGAAACCAAAATGATTTGCAAAACTAAACATCAATTAAACAAAAATACATCAAAGATGTCATAAATGACAGTCCATGAAATACTTAAAATACCTTCAAATTTTTAGCCTAATGATAAGCTATTTGAAGAAGGGTAACACGGAGTAAAAATAAATAAATAAAAGGGGATGATGATAATGATGATATTGAATGAATGAAATTCAATACATTCATGCCAACACTACGGATAGAGCTACTCTTGTTGGGGTCACAACTAAGCTGTAGTAAAAGAAAAACAAAAACAAAAAAACATTCAAATGCATTCAAACACTTTATTCATTTTGAATTTGTGGCTATGGCAGGTTAGTCGCAGATGGCAATCCTAAGATTCTGGTTTGAGCCAGCTTATTGACATACCTGTAACGATAAACTGAAAAAAAAAAAGTGTGTTGAGAAACTAGTCACACGTTTTAAGACTTGTCAATAAATGTTTTTCTTGTGCTGTACTTTCAATAACCTCAGCTCTTACACAGTGGTAGTCCAACAAACTGGTAATTTTTTCTCAAGAGAATGTGTTGGAAGAGGACACCAATTGAGATGACTACCATACAAGGTAAAAATGTGGTAGTTGACTGCTACAAGTAACTGGGACTGAGAGTTCATGTGAACAGCTGACGTTAAACTGAAGGCAATAATGACTCTCTGTGCAAATGGGGGCATAAGTACACTCTACTTTCTGAGAAATCCCACATCTTTCAGTGTGTGTAGCAACCTACTGCAGACTCTTCCAGCCTGTGGTCGCCACAGCCTTGAACTTCACTGCTGTCTGCCACGGTAGCAGGACCAGCAAGCTGACTCTAAATACAATTCAATAAATAAAAACAGGCACAGGGTCAACATTATAAAATACACATTGTTGCTATTTTGACCAATACTCCCTTCTGCAACAATAAAGCTAGTCTAAGTCTAATTTGTTGTTGAAGGACAGGGGAATGAGGGGATGGAGCATTTATTCACGGCTGGCTTGTTTTACTCATATTAACATTATTTCTTAGGGTCTATCACTATACCATAATTAACTGAAAGGTTGCTTCCTGACAGTCACAGAATAGCCGTTCACATTAGTAATGAGCTAAATTTCCTGATATTCAACATACACTTAAATGCTTGTGTAACATGCTGACATTGTAAGAACATGTAAAGTCTAACTTTAGTACTTACAGGGATGCCAGAAATTATTTTATCTTCCCCTTCACAGAATGGTCCATCTCATTTCACAAGTGACTTTGGTTCAGAGTCTGTTGATATCACGTTTAAGAAGTACATTATGAAAAATAATATTCACGACTGGTGATGAAATATGCGTACAAACGGAGATCCTACTTGATGAGTCAGGGTTTCTTACATCTCGATGACCATAGGTAGAGCTGTCAAAAATAAAGAGTTACACTTCAGCTATATTTCTCAAAAAATGGGGTGGGTGCTGATGGAGATCACTTTGGTTTCAAGGGGAAAAACATACACCTTTCACTCTCTAGAACCATGTCAATTTTGGTGTAGGCCTATTACATAAATATACCACTAGTGTACTCCTGTGTGCACTCCTAAATGTGTGCACTTCTGTCTTCAGCTTTACACTCAAAAGTCTGTTGCAATAGTTTGGATAAACTTGTAGACATGTCATTAATTTTAATTGTGTGTACTTCCAGTAATAAGTACTATGTTTTCTAATATCAGGGGTTTAAACAATACACAATCAATAGTTTGTACAGTGTATACGGACTACTCGGCTGTACATCTGTCATAAGTGATTTTCTCATTTTATTGCATTATGTTTATCTCGTATTATACTGAATATGAATATGGTGCTCTCGTAAGTTTGTATTTGCAATTAAAAGCTTAAAAATTTTAATAGGTTGTGTTCACATGACATCACAACATTTTAAACTGCTCAGGTTTAAATGCACATAAAAATTTTACTACTGTACTCGTTTCACTAAAACATAATTAACATGAATTTAAGTTTCTGTAATTTACATATGGTAATAATTTGAAAGTAAAAATATAAGACAACTCTTATTTTCTTGAATGCCTTAAAACAGTCCTTGTGTGTAAATGGTATACTGGATGGAATTTGGTGTATCAATGATACAGAAGGATTCTGTTTCAGAAGTCCACCTTTATCTACATAAACTGCCACTGACAGCATAAATGTTTATCAAAAAATAAATAAAAATAAACATGAGCTAAGGTCAAATAATTTCATAGTGATTTCAAAATGTCATGGCATTGCTAAAATTGAATACTAACACCATAACTTCAAACTTTGGTTTGGTCATTTAGTGAAAAAACTAAACTGTTACACCCACCCTCTTGGGTGTTTTCTTCCACTTTTAAATTTTGCACCATGACCATCTGATATAGTGTATAAGAAGTTGCTTCAGTGTGGTTCCTATCTGAGTAATGACACTGCAGTTTACCCTCAAGAAGAGGGTACAGATATAGCTCCCTAAACGCACGTACCACGGAATCCTAACCTTCCCTCCACCTCAAGTTTAATATGAGCAGTTTATAAAAGTTGTGATGTCATGTAAATGCAATATATGCAACCCGTGTTGCACCCCAAATATTTTATAACGGCACCCAGCAGTTCCTTAAAATAGACATTGACTCATGCTGGAGTCAGGTGAGGTCTCCCGCCTGTATGACTCAGATGGAAGTAGCAATTCATAAAAGCTATAATAAGAGCACATTCTTTGCTTTAACGAAAAAACTAAATGTTTTCACTACAAAGACTCCAACCTTTCAGAATATCAGAACTACTTGTTTAAAGCCATTAACATTTTATCAAGCAAGGGTGAGTCTGTTAAAATACGCTTAACACTTAAAAAAAAAAAAAAAAAAGTCCAGGTTTATTGTGAATCGTGGCTGTAATCCATGTTAACTGCTTGACATCTGTATGAAAGGAAGGAGAGACCAAGAGAAAAGAATATATTATATAACAGCCTTTCACACAGCAAGGTCAAACTTTGTCCTCTATGTTTCTTTGGTTTGCAAGAGCAAAACCGAGCAACAGACAATGAACCATGGCAACAGTAGTGGAAAAGATAAAACTCATTTAACAGCTAAGGCAAGCTAAAGTTAACACTTAAGTGGCATCTAAAAACAATTACAACACAAGACCTCTGAACTGAATAACCCAAACCTGTACATGGATCAACAAACCAGTCGACAACAGTGCAAGCAGAGCAGAGTTGTCAACAGTGCGGTCAACAGCAGAATTAGTTAAGTAAAGAGTGTACAACAGAGCAGAGATGAGTTAATGGCGTTGGTAAGCATATTTTTTTTCCTTTGTGGTGGCTTGAGTGTAGATGTTGTAATGATGGGCTCCCAGCTTCATGCAGATCAGTGCAGTGGCCTACAGGGGCATCTGAGAGGCCGGGCAACTTGACAAGCAAACACATGGTCATCCAACCCACTGGGATGATGTTCATTGATTGACATACAGAATCCTGTAGATGTGTGTTTGTCACATGGGCATAATTGTGATGTAGGGACGAAGGAAAGAGCGTTTCTCCATCCTCACTTCCTCCATCCCTGATCCATCACCCCAGTGCCCCTCGCTATGGCTGCCCCTGCCCACCAAAACGTGGGAGGTTAGCCAAAGTTGTGAAGAGCCAGCCTGAACATATCATTAGTGCACACCCATGAGTCGTTTACATTCTTCAGGATGAACGTCTGATGGAAGCCCATGATCGGGTCATTGTCTGCCTGTAATTCAGAGTAGAAAAAACATTTAGCAAAAAAGGCCAAATTGTGAGACCAACTACTCTCTCAGTAATTTTTCACATTTATATTTTAAAAGGTCCTATATTAGGCAATATTGACTCTTGTGAAATTTAAGCCCTGTTGCAATGTTGTAACCTCATCAAAACATACCAGGAGTTGTATTTTCTTTTATTCACATGTCTAGCCTGCCTACATTTCAAATCTTAAAATGTCCTTCATGCACTTATTTATTTCTTATTTTTCAGGTTAACAGCTACCTTTTACCTTTAGTTTAGTAGATATTGACAATTTCAGGACTGAAATTATCTAAATTATTCTAGTGGGTGTATGTTTAATGTAATGTATTGTATGAGTTTAAAAGCACAGTGCAGAATTTCCACATGACATTACAAGGTGGAACAGAGTGAAGAACTCACCCTAAATATGCATTTGTATGTTAAACATGTATGAATCAAAATACAAGTCCAGGTATGTGATGAGGAAAAGAACATCATAATATGGATCAGAAAATAGTGTAATATGGGACCTTTAAAATATGTCTTGGTCTTTAAGATTTAACTGACAGAGCAAAACAGTAAAACACTGGTACGAAAGTGGGGAGATTCTTTGGACCTAAACTTTATGTTTTAAGGCCACAGTCAATAGATAGACCTCATTTTAGGCATTGAGAGCACAAATAACTTGTGAGCAAAACATTTCCTTGCATATCTAAATATCAAATTCAAGGTAAATGAGTTGCTACTTATCTATAGTAAATCTTTTAGTAGCTAGTTACTTGAGTTGCCTGTGCATGTTAAAGTAAAGCCCTGGGGTCAAAAAGTGTTTCCATTGTCGCTTCAAGGGTCGAAGCAACCTGTGCAATACATTACCTGGACCCCCACATTGAGAGGATCAGCTAAGGTTCTTTCACAAGCCTTGCCATACCAGAGATACCATTAGTTGAAAGTGGAACACAAAGACAACCACGCTGTTTCTCTACAACATGCCATTTTTTTATTGCAGGGAGGTAGAAGCAATAATGGCTCTACTTTGGTCTCTCCAGATTTTCAGTTTGTGTGAAATGTATTTTTCTGTATTTTGAAATTTCTTCAAAACACTCACTTTAAGTTGTCCTACGACCATGCTCAATATGCAGCAGTCTGGGGTTGGTTGGTGGTCTTGCGCTGTTATACTATGGGCTATCTTTGTGAAAGGGAGACTCTAGGAAACAAAACAGACAAAAGTTGTTTATGCTAACATTGTATTAGTGCATCTTTGGTGTGTAGACATATATAACCATTCAAAAGCCCAAACTTTTTTTGTGATAACCTAAGGTATACTTTTATCCTCATTGGCTCCCCTACATGTTGTCTTTCTCTTCCTTCGCCTTTCAAGGACCCTCATTTATCCATATTACACTAATGAAATTTATTCATAATGCCATGTGCTTAATGAAGGCACATGGTATTGAAGAATCCGTTGTGCTCCAACCCTGTCACACACACAAGCATTTCAATAAAACACATAGAAATGTTCATGGTTTAGGTGGACTTACCTATGACATGAAGTTAAATAATATAAGATGCCCTATTGTTTTCACTCACTGAAACACATGCAGTGTGAAGTATAGCTGATAAACACCATCTAAAATAGCCTGCCTTTGCCATTAACTAACTACTAAGACCACTTTTAGGGCAAAGTTAGTTCTAAGGAAGAGGGAGGAGGAAGCAGTTCAGAAAAGGGCCTTAGAATGAAGGCTACACCTGCCTATTATTCATCTCTTACGCCTTACATCATATGCACCATTTTTGCCACAAGAGCTTGATAAAATGAGGGCCAAGAGATTTCTGTATGCCATCTTGACAGTGACCCCATAATTTGCATGAGCCACATGAGAGTAATTTAAATATTGTTGTCAGTACTGTATTATTAAATCGATAAATGAAAGTTAGGATGAACTGAACAAGTACAGAATAATAGAACCATATGTTTACAATAAACCTATGGCTCACACTGCAGTGCCAAATTTGAGAAACAATGCTCAAGTCTGGAATGAAGGGGATATTATGCAAAGGTTTGCAGGCTTAGTTTAATAAATAGCTCACATGAACTTGTCTTTTATGTCAACATTTCAAGTAAACTGAAAAATAAATAAGATCCAGAAAACTTACAGTGAGTTTCTTAACAATGTCAAGTTTCCCCTGGAACTGCTGTCCTTCCCATGTAAGGCATGATGCATCAGTCTGTATTGAAAAATACAAGAAATAATTTGGTGCATAATCAATGAGACAAAATTGCTTTAAGTGATCAGATACAACACACTAACATATATAGCTCCAAGTCGCGATCTGTCAGAATCAAACATCTGATAGTAGTGGGTCACAAAGCTGGACCCTATCTGCTCCCACACAGGCTGGTCCACCATCTTGGTTAGCCCTACAACACACTGAGACAAGAGAAAGAATATCGAAAGTTATAGCACTAAAAAAGTGATAAGCCAATTGTGCTATAGACAAAACATGTACATGGGGATAGAAAAATATTGGTGATCGCATTTAACGTTGAAAAGTTAACGAAATACTAATAAGGTTGTACCGTTCTGAACCTTTAGTCCCACAATGGATAGTACAGTTGGTTTTCCACAGCCAATCTGAACCAGGTATGTTTTGCTGAGCACATCATATTAGCTGCCTGAGTGACAGTGACAGCACAAGTCATGCGCTCACACAACTAAACTGACCCCTCAAGGAAGGAGGAAGCATTAACCGCTGTGGAGCTACTGTAATGTTACTAAGCAATAATTAATCAAATAACCGATGCATATTAAAATACAGTAGCATTGTTGTGTACTGTCTAGTTTAGCACGGGCTAACCACATGCTATTAGCTTGTGTGATCTTGTTTGCTAATGTTGCTAGCATAAACAGCTAACTACATGCTCTGTTAGCCTTTCGGGTAGCAGATAAAATGCACGTTCCTTAGTTATTGAAGATACTGCTTGTTCCCTGGCGCAGGCCTGTTCAGTAGTTGCTAAAAATATCTCGTCTCCTCCAAGTGTTGATTCCTCTACAGGCCCGCGATAGTTCTGGAGCCCTGTGCAGCTCCCCTCCATAGGCGTGCCCAGCGCTTCAATCAACAGCAGCAGGCAATATAACAACTTATACAGCGTTACTTCTATCTTTCTATCTCACGTCTACATGAGCCCTACCCTTTTACTTGTGTGTTTCCATTCAATAAATCCGATATGGAGTCTTCAAAAATAAGTAAGTATAACTTACCTCTGCCCAAAGCCGAGGCCGGCCGCACGACCACACAGTCCTGCTGCTGTTATGCCTGCCCCGAACAGAGGGCACGCGCTCAAACAAGAAATCCGCGCGAAGAATTGTGGGAGTGTAGTCTTTTAACGCACTGTTCGCCTTTCTTAGTAACAATCCCAATAATAAATTTTCCCTTCCAGCGATACGTCATGTGGAAGTGTAAATCAGTTCTACTAATTTATCAAAAGCTACATTTAATTTTTTCCCAGACTTGATGTTACTACAAAAGTTACTACAGAAGGATTGACCCAAAGGAGAAGTAAAGTGTCAATTCAATTTACTCTACATTAAGTTAACACCTAAACTGAAGGGGAGTCCGTACCGCCAAGTACAAGCTTGTATACTACAATATGGGAAACACTGGTTTAGAGTAAGACGTTTTCTTTAGAGACAAAACTACAGGGTACCAATATTTGTCCTCTTTTTGGCAGATGTGGGTAATACAGTGATCTTTACATGAGTAACTTTTCTCATGAATAATTTCTTAATAATTGTTTCATACCATAATTTTACTCATTTGAGTAAAAGTTTTGGTTACTCTTCTCACTTTGAGTAAGTCTACAAGTGACAAAAATCTTTGATTTGATTTCTCATTATTGTGGTCTATACTTGATTTTGTGCATTATTTAATATTTTGTCCTTTGTTGTCTTCAAATTATAAATGGAATCTCCATTCTTACTTGAGTAGGAGTTTCCCCAAATGCCCTTTTATGCTCAAATGAGGACCACTACTTTGTAGCCTTCTTATTTTGAACTTCTTACTTGAGCTATCATACTCAAGTTTTACTCTGATTAAATTTTAGACTTGGTTTAGTCTCATTTCAGACTAGATATAACCCATCATTTAGGCCCATATAAAGTCTGACATTTAGTACTTGGAAAGCCCACTAGTTTCTTAGGTACTTGGTGTGAAAAGGTTGAGAAGGTTGATCAAATAAAAGCTGTTTACTGTACAAAACATTTCATATTAAAATTCCAGTAGGGCTATCATTTTCACAAAATGTATCTAATTACAATTAACTTATTTACTATATTATCTACTTATATTATCAGCATCAACATTAGGCTAATTAAATGATATAGGGTGTAAATTATATGATTATGAGAATAGACAGCTGAAATATGTCATCATTTGTTAAATGATTTAGATTTAGAACATACTCCAACTTGAAACTTTTATGATGCCTTAGTTTTTTGTTTTTTTATGTAAAAATATCATATTCATAATCATAATCATAATCATAGACCTATGGTAATAATGTGAATATATTTTTGTGGAAAATATCAGCGAGCGTTTCCATAGCAACGTAAAAGAGCCATGCACGCAGCGAGGTCCTTTCTCATAGTAGGCCTCGGAGCGCCTGACTAACAAATATTTTCGTGAATATTCGTCTTCTGCGACAAACATAACATTTACATATATCATTGGACACAATTATAACTAAAATAGATTAAGACCATTGCGTGTATATTTTATTTTGATTCCCTGTACAAATATGGGCTATGTATTCATTATAAACAGTTAACAAAAGTTGTTCAGGAACGGACAAAATAAAGTTTATATCGTCAATAAATATTAAAATAACTCATCTTAATCAATTACCTTCCAAAAGACAACGGTGGCATCTAAATTACAACTATTACCACCAATGTATGTTCAAACGTTACTGAACTACAGTACCCAAACGGCTCTGTTCCAGCCTACAGTACATTCTGCTGCTTATCCGGGGATGTCACACCGCTGCTATTTTCTCCCCACAGTCCCTCTCACTCTCTGCTCTCAGCACCAGCGGACAAGAACGGGGATTTGGATAGCAAGAAACGCACATAGATACCAGACAAAAGCCAGTTATGGCAGAGGTTGGAGTCGGGAGTTTGCCTTTAGTGGATCCTGTTTTTAATTACCAAGAGCACGAACTCAACGACCGACTGAAACGGCTCTACCCGGCTGTGAACGAGGAAGAGACCCCTTTACCCCGATCCTGGAGCCCCAAGGATAAATACAGCTATATTGGGCTGTCACAGAACAACCTGCGAGTCCATTACAAAGGTTAGAGCTGGCTATATCCTCGCAGGTCTAAAGAAGTTGTACAACACAGCCGAGGCTCTTAACCCTGAGTTGTTGCGGAGGGTCTCACACACACATACACTGTATGCGATTATGCTGGTTGTGTATGCGTGTAGTCCTGGTAAATCTAGTCTGAGCTGCCTCTCCTGTCCTATAACCTGGCTTTGTTTCTCAAAAGCAGAGGAATGTCAAAATGGGTGACAGTGAACTCGTTAACACCAATACATCGTGTTTTGATCCAACAAACTGAAATGATGTTCAACAACGAGGCTTCCCTTTGTTTATCTGACGTTTGCATTGTGATTGTTTTGCTGTAAAGTAGCTATGCATCTGGTATTATCCATATACTTTTACTGGAAGGCTGAATTGACATACTAGTCCGCACTGGCACTTACGTGGTCATTTACTAGTAAAGGTAATTGTATTTTCCAAAAGGGATTGTTAGAACAAGATAATCTTTCAATAAGCGACATTTATTAACCTTAGTTAGCCGATAAGCTAACTAGCTAACGTTAGCTAACCCGAATGTTGTTGGGATTTTAAGCTTTGCCACGATGAAAAAAGCACCAATCCAACGTGATGGTTTTTACCATAACGAGTGTTGAATTCCAACGTATCCCAGGTTATAATGCATTATTCAGTAGTAACTAAAATTTAATAAACAATTCATTAATTTCTGAAATTTGCCATTGGCAGTCTTTTTTGTTACTGGCTTTAAATAAAGCTTAGTAAATGTGATTTTCCTTCCTTGAGATGAGCAAAGTGCAGCCAGGTCAGTCTGTATCTGCCCTAACAGTTTTTTCAGCTGTTGATGTGATGGAGGAGGCCTCTCTGCGCATTTCAATGTGCCAAATGTTCTCTTCTTGTCATAAATGACTATAAGGCTTGCTATTGTTAGGGTCAAATTAGTTGCTAACTGTTAGGCCTGTTGGGCCCGCCTTCTGTCTTGTTTAAATATTCACTTCATAAGTAAAAGCAAAGTGTGTGCTTCTGTCAGTGCCCTCTTTTCATCAGACGACCTGTTCTGTCAGCTCATAGTAGCACCACGTTTATGGAGCTCATGTCTCTTTATGTGATCATAAGAGAAAACCTTGTCTTACAGACAGGCAGAGGATGAGAGGATACACAAGGGCCTTGACTCATGTAGACGAGTCCTGTCCTGCTTTGTCTCTCAGATCTGGACTAACTTTTGTATTTTATAATGTTAAGTTGTATAATGCATCATTATTACCCTATTATAACTCTATGTTCCTAGTAGGTAACTTATATCCTGGGCTGAATTGTTGCTTATGACACTGCACTATTATTCAGGGTTGTCGCCATAAATAGGCCTACTCTATATGAGACAAAATATCTTTTATCCCCTGGTAGCCTCTGCTCCTTTCTCACACCCTTGAGGTTTTTGATGCTATTTTGACCAAATGCTCCATTTTTATTCTTTTTTTTAAGAGTGCGCTGTGTTATTTCATTTTAGTAACTTGGCTGTAACAAAAACAGTAATGATGTGGCCAGGGGAAAAAAAAGTGTAGGCCTTACAGCATTTCTCACACCACTAGGAATGTCACTATATCACATTTTAGTTTAACAATACAAAGATAATAATTCATGATTACTGACACCATGACCAAACAAAATCCTTAATTCAATTTCATTCACACTGACACACTACACCATTATGTGATCATGATAGAGTAAAGGTAATGTCCCATAATCAGACAGACATTAGATTTACCTTTTTGGATATAGATCAAATTAACACTACTTATGTTTGCTTTTAAAATTCTCAATATTATTTGTATTATTATTTCATTTAACAATTATATTGTGACCTGAATAATAATGTAAATTAACCAAATAGTGTTGATTTCCCAACATGCCATCATTCTATGTTTTTGTAGCTGTTATAAACTAGCGTTTAGGTATTTTTTAAATTTATAATTTTTTTGTCTGGTTTTTGAACTGATGGTTTTAGTCTCACTTACTGCTTGTATTATAGTCAGACTTGCGAGATTTCCAGCAGTGGGGACCTCTGAACTTTGACCTATGGTGCGTGATGGGATTGATTTTAACTGCTGTGCAACTACTGTAACAAAGGTTTCTCATTGTTAGTTACTATTTAATGATGTTTATGCCATAGAGGTGCAGAATTGACTATAAAGAGCATCTTGATATTTTGAAGGGTTATCTTGATGACAATTACAGGAATATCGAAGAAATGTCCTGAAACTTGCCTGTAAATGTCTTTGTTGAAGTACACGCAAAATGAAATATAACTTCTTATCTGAACCCATTTTGTTCAGCTTGTTTTTAAAATATGCGGCAAATATGTGATTATGGACCAATGTAATAATTTAAATCACAATTATAAACTGAAGTGCTCAGTCCTGTCACTAACACTAACACATACTGTTCTAGTAACTAGTGAGAGTTCACACTTTCTATGACTGGTCAAATCCACCTGGCAGACTAAAAGGAGGTGTTTGTTTGAGCATAGAGAAACAGTGAATGACCATATCACAGAAAATGGCATATTGTCTCAGTATGGGGGTCAGATTTAGATTTGTTATTTATCGTCATATGCCCTGCCCTTATTCAGAAAAGATATGAATAATATGAGTAATATGAACTGCTAGACCAGGGGTGTCAAACTTAATCCACTGCCACATATCAAAACTTACATAAAGTGCAGTGAAGTACATCAGTGTAGTGAAGTATTCAAATATGTGCCATTAGCAATTAGCAGATATGACCGAGCTACCACTGGGACCCGAAGATAAGGTTTGTCTCACTCCAAAACGTCTGATATTGAGGTCCAATGTGGAACTATTGGTCTGGGCCACAGTTTGGGCATGGTCATGTTGAATTGACACAAGGATCCTATAGACAGTTTAGGACTGTCTGACTACTGGGTTAGGGTTTTTATTCCTCATAGTTCTATATTGTATATTTTGTTATTTTCATTGGAAACACTTTTACGTAAACTCATATTATTCTAAGTATCTCATCTTAATTTCATTGTGGGATAGGCCCACTGGATAGGTACGCTAACACTTGTCCCCTGTCCTTGTATGTAGTTGTAAAGGGACCTGCGGGCCTACTGAGGACTTGTTTCACGAGGAGATGCTAAAATTAGACATTCACTGGAACCACTGCAGCAGACAATTACACACAAACATCAAGCGTGGAGTAGCATGACAGTGACAATATAAATAAAGAGTCCAATTTAAAAGCATTGGTGTTTAATAATGCACAAACTCTTCCTTTAATGAAGTGTTTATTGTAGCTTTGCAATCATGCCCCACTCGAGCCATTGGCATATTAAATTCACCCCCTAAATTTATCCACCAGTGTTTTTCAGATTTGACTAAGAATGGTCCAATATTCGATGCAAGTTTTGCTGCGTTGAACAATAATAAGTATTTGCAGATGCTGTTAAAATCCATTGCAAGGCCCACAAATGTGTCTTATGTTAATTTAAAGATCACAAATCAACTTTTCCCTTTTGTAAAAATAACAAAAATTTAATTTTCTGGGATATTATTTGTTTGTGTAAACGTGTACCCACATATTTTGGCGTAATTTCTCCTCTATTGATTTTCTTCATTGTTCCAAATATGTGACGATTATTCATTATTGGCCGATACTAATATTGGAACCGATATATCATCCATTCCTAACAGAGATTCAAAAACAGGTGGTAAAATAATTATGATTGTCACTAACCATATAGTCAGAATCTCATATCAACAAGAAATAGCTCTCCCTCTACTGAATTGGAAAGCACCATCTATTTGTAGAATAATTTCCATAGTAGGGCTATTGTTTTAATTTTATCCTTCTTTCCCACTTTATATGGTGAAGGCATATTTCAGAGTTTCAGTTCACAACATTCTGTAAACCAAGAATATTTAATACAGACTCAGAAGCATCAGCATTATTGATTATGAATACTTTTTAAAACATTTTTGTTGTAATATAGTGAGTTCTTGGGTCCAGTTACTAATAAAAATGATCAGGTTCAACATTTGTGACTTTACTGTTTGCTTTACCCATTTGTCATGGTGAAGTACAATGTAATCAATAAGGAAAACCATCTCTTGCCCCCATCTGAGAGTGTAACATCGTCACATTCTACAATCTGACAGCCACCTCCTCTTATTACTATGTATTGTTTATATACTATGGGCGGCCCTTTATCTCCTGGGGAATACTGCATTTAACAGCTCTGGATACTTCTTAATCCTTAATTAATTGGACATAAAACCAAACCTGTAGGGCTGTGATTTTTATGAAAAGTACTGTGATTAGATGTGCACATTGTAAACACCTCCATGAGAATTACATTTGAGAAGAGTTAAATATGAAATGATTCACTTATACAAAGTTCCTATATATTTTACTGCTTGCTTGTAGAGGTCTCAACCACATACAACAAAATTTGTAAATGTATAGGAAAAAACAGAATATTTTTATCTTTGCATAGGACATTTTATTATCAAATTACTGCAGCTTTTGTGGTTTAATAATTGCGGCTACTCAAATTGCAATTTCGATTCAATTCTTATGTATGTATTCTAATGTATTCTAATATCCTTGGTCTAACTACAGCCTGCATAAAATGGGACAGGTCCAAACTGGAAGATTTGCCGATCATGTGTCTGTGTGTGTTTGGTGCCTTACTTGAACCAGCCTTGTCCTGTATATGTCCAGATGGCTCCACATTAATGGCCAAAGCCCTCTCTTTTCTCTCACACACAGACACAAGCAGCAGTGCTAAGGTGTCTGCTAACAGCCAGCTGCTCTGGTTAGGGTTACACATTCATGCACACACAAATGGGGCTCTCTGTGACTTTTTATGCATGCAGCCAGGCCAACCCTCGGCAATTCAATCCTGTGATTACATGTAACAAACTGGGATGCACATGTAGTGTCAAAGCCTGATAGGGGGTTATACAACGCTTGGCTGAGCTCACTCTGCCCCTCTCTCTCCTATGGCTGTAGGGATTGCATAAGCAGCCATCTGAATCTAAAATGACAGACTCTAATCATTGTTATGTTTCAGTCTAATTGGTCCATGCTGAGACAATAAAGTGGCTTAGTGACCCAGTGTTTATATCGTTACTTTAAAAGTTTGTAAGCTGTGGTTGTTGGTGTGTTGGAGACTTGAGTTATGCTGACTCTGAGACCTTGAATTTTTACTTTAAAGGTGCCCTGTAACCTTTCTGGTGGAGGGTCTGCCACCTGCTTGTCTGTAAATGTTATTCCTTTGTCTATAATGTTCCACAATATAGATTAAAACACCCTATCACAAGAGAGACAAGCAGGTTACAGCACTATGCTATGTCACAATTCAGATATGTGGAGGCACACCGCTATTCACAATTCATTTATGGTATTACTGAGCAATAGAAACACAATGAATAAATGCTACATGGATATATTTAATGTCAAAAGTTGAGTAGAGCACCTTTTAAGATGTTTTTACAACTATTATTACTTTTTGGTTTGGTTGAATAATTGCCATAGTATTTATCTTAGTTTTACACCAGTCAAGTGGCAGTTGAAAATGAGAAGTTAATTTGTTTATTTATTTGGATCCAAGTAGCCAAAAACAGTGTCATCAAATAGTCTTCCTGGGTCCACTGAAATGTAAATCTCATGTAAAAAGTAGCTCAGAGATAAATGAGACAAGAAAAGGAACAACAGAATTCTATCCAAGTTAGGCAAAACTACAAGGAACAAATGTTACTGTCAGGTTAAACATTAATCTTACAGAATAAAGGTATTGTAATGTATTTTTATTAGACAAAGTTGTATTTTTTATCAGACAAATAATAAATAATGCTAAAGCTGAGCTCACCCCTGTCTGCTGTCTTGCAGGTCACGGTAAGAACCACAAGGATGCGGCGTCAGTGCGAGCAACTCACCCCATCCCAGCGGCCTGTGGGATTTACTACTTTGAAGTCAAGATTGTCAGCAAAGGTCGAGACGGGTGAGTACTGAGCACGAACAGTCGGGAGCAAGATCAATCAAAAAAGCAATTTAAATGGTCACAATTATCAAATAGCACAGACTTCAATCCTGTGTGTGTATTTTAATTTCCTTTGTAGAACATTAACTTGTGCCCATAAATATGTAAGCCTATTGCTATTGCTGTTAAGTTCAAATTCTCCTTATTGTATTTAAAGTGTGCACAGACATTTTTTTTAAAGGTGCACTGCATAACATTTCCAGTGTAGTGTCCGCCAACATCTTATCTCCATGGAAATGTTATTGCGTTTAGAAAGAGACCCCTTTAAACCAATCCTGGAGCATGGTATTTTTGAGCAATAAAAACGCCAGTAATGAATAAATGTTAAATGGCTATGTTTAAAGTCACACCATGGAACATTCCAGGCATGGAGACGAGTTAAATAATGTAATTAGATTTTGTCCCATACCCATAATAAACAGAAAACACCATTGGCATCTTAAGTCAGTGTTTCCAGCCACCATGTGTGTTTAAAAGACCCTATGCCCCACATTAGCTGCTCTGGGAACAAAACACACTGCATCTAGTGTTCTTATTATCTAATGGACTCATTCTAAACTGTTTAGTCACAATGGCTAGTAACTCAGCAACTACCAACAAGCCGACCTCATTGTAATCATGACTCAGTAACTAATCCCAGTCTCCAAACAGCTGCATTTTATAATGTAAGGATCTAAGGCCTGGTGCAGGAAGCTTTTTATCTAGAGTAAATGTCTCAATGTCAAAATATTTTTACAATTTAAACAACATATACTTTTTTCACTGCGCTACGTCACTGCATGATTATGGAAAAACATAAAATCACAGTTATTCTGACAAATTTTCCTATTCAAAAGTATGTTTAAAGAAGGATTTTGTGTGGAGTGCGCATTTCAGCCATATTCAGGAGCGTTAACATTTGAGAAAACTATGGATTGTTAAACTATTACAAGAATCCCATGCATTTCAGGACATGTTTCAAAAGGCTTAGCTTGTTTTCAATAAAAAGACAAAAGATATGTTAATGTTTACAGTGGACATTCTATTACCTAAATAATTCATTCAGAGTTTTGAGCTGATTAGCTGATGAGGGTGTGACTCCATGACCTTCCAATATTGAACTTTTTCACAATATTCTTATTATCTGAGACAAATTTGGGGTTTTCATTGTCTATAAGCCATATTCATCAACATTTCACAAAATTAAGGCATACCATATGTCTTAAGTCTATACAATATCTGGTTTTGACTTTCTGAAATTGGTGACAAAAAATCTGGATCTTTTTCATGATATTCTAGTATATTGTGCAGCTCAAGCACTACTTCTAATTACTTGGTATCTAAAAGTAGAATTATTGCATTCTTGCATCAGCCTTTTGACCGGTTATAAACTGGAATCCAAACTGGAAATTCTGTTTAAAAAGTGTTGCGTAACATTTTACACTCCCCTGTTCTGGTTGGGCAGCATAGTGTGAAGGGTATAGGGCTGTGGGGTACAAAGCAAATGTTATGCAGGCGTGTCTTCGTAGGAACACTTGACACATGAAAACGGTATCCATGTTTTGAAACGTGAGAGATTTATTTTTAGCAAGCTGCCTCCTAAAACCGCTTTTTACATGAGAACACTAAAGGGGTCAGCAGTAAAAGGCCAGGATAGTCTCCTCATAATTCACTGCGGCCAACCGATGACCACTGCCTTCTTGTGGTCTTTTTGGAAAATGTTGATGCTTGTTTTTTAAAGGGCCCATATTACGCTGTTTTCTGATCTGTGTTATAATGTTGTTTCCTCATCACAAACATACCAACAACAAACATAAATACATGTGTGTTTAGTTCACAAATGTTTAACACACAAATCCTGAGTTCTTCTCTCAAACTGAAAACAACTTAACTTGCTGCTTCATGACATCACAAGGTGGAACAGAGCATTTTGAGCTTTGGAGATGTAGACAGACTAATAATAAAGGATACTCAAACATGTGAATGAAACAAAACACAGCTCCTGATATGGTTCGGATGAGGTGACAACAAGTCTAACATGGCTTAAAGATCACCTTTAATGTGTTGATAATGATCTGATTTCTATCTTGCTGTCGTTAAGACGTATAGCAGACCTTTGAGACTTCTTGTCAGATGATAATTTGTACCTCAGTGTTTTAACAGAGAACAAGCACACCCTGTATCAGACTGGAGTAATGAGGTCTCTCCCTGTCCTTGTGCTTGAGCAGAACAAAATCATTATTTTAACTAAAAATGCTGATTGTTGTCATTTAATCTGAAGTGATACTGTGTAATCCCTCATTCGTCCTCACGTTTCTGCTTTATTTTATTGCAGTATATGTAGTTTTCATATTTTGAAGACGTGCTTTAAAGGTGCACTATGTAACTTTTCAGGTGCGGGGTCCGTCACCTGCTTGTTTCTATGGATATGCCATTCATCTGCCTGGAATGTTCCACAGTATGACATTAAACAGCTCTACCTTACATTTATTCAGTTACAGGTGGTTTTATTGCTCAAAAATACCTAGAAAAAAGGCATTCTGACTGTGAGGTGAGTCGCCTCTCCACAGATCAGACCTGTAACTTGGTCTGGTTTAGTCTTCATGATAATTGAAAGGTTTAATGCCATACTGCAAAACAGTCAAAGCAATAACATCTCCATAGAGAGAAGCATTTGATGGACCCTTCATCACAAAAATTACACAATGCACCATTAACTCAAATGAAAAAAGCGCAGGATTTTAATTATAACATACCTCTTTTTCAACTTGGCTGTTGAAAGTTGTTTTCTGTGTACTGATTCCACTAAACCTGTTGGAAGCACAAATAAAAAATGTGTTTGCTGTGAATGCTGATCAGTGTTTTGGTTTGTGTTTGCAGGTACATGGGTATAGGCCTGTCTGCGCAGGGAGTCAATATGAACAGACTACCAGGTGAGTAACATAAAGAAGTCTGTGTGTAAAACAATATAGTGTTCAGAACTGAGATGTGAGTGAATGAGCCGAGAAAATGTGCATGAGATGGAGTCATGTAAGGATACACATGGTCAGACCAGCAAACAGCCCGTATATAGCAGGCACTTCATGTCACTCTCCAGAAGTAACATTCGCTGACTGGGATGAGCTGAACAACACGGAGAATCGAACAACACTGGAACAGATCCCATATTCCATTGATATTTTTTAATGTATGTAATTTTGCACCACATGGGCAAACTAAAATTAATATTAGTCTAAACAATAAGAAAAACAAATAGCATAGAATGTTTTAAAACTGTGCTTCCTCAGTGTCTCAGGATGTTTTAAGTAATGTCCTCCCTTTAGACTAAACCAGTGCTGGGACCAAAGACCAGTGAAAGAGCAGTAATGGAGAACTGGGTCCCAATTAAGTGGTTAACTGTGAGAGTTGTTTACCCAACTCTGAGCACTGTAAAACCAGTGGCTTGTGTACAGGACAGGCTCTGCTGCCATGGGACTAGTGATGTGATGTTTGTGATACTTTTGATACTTACTTCCTTAAAGGTGCATTGTGTAACATCTCTGGTGGAGTGTCTTTGTTATTAATGTTATGGCTTTATCTGGAATGTTTTACAGTATGGGATTTTTTTGAGCTATAAAACCATGTGATGTCCCACCATTTATTAATTTAATAAATGTAAAGTAGAGTTGTTTAATGTCATTCTGTGGAATATTCTGGACAGAGCAATGACATATCCATAGAAACAAGCAGGTGAGAGACCCCCAAACAAAATGTTACACAGTACACCTTTAACATGAATGAGTGGAACCGGATCTCATTTTTAAAAATAAATAATGTTTTTTTCTTTCTCATTTAAATACATTTTTATACTGGTTTACATTGAGCCAACACCATGAGTGCACAAAAAACATACTTGACATCATAATTCAGTTATGTTTTTTAATTATTATTATTGTTGTTCTGCAATGTTTTATTTATATTATGCATAATTTCACTGAGGAATCGCACTCCCCCTCTCAGTTTTAACCATTTAAAAACAATCTTGGTAATTTCTTTCTGTGATTAGTTTCAGTTCTCAAATTGGCTTCTGTCACATACATAAATAGTAAGTCATACTTTTGAATGATTCTTTGAAAGCAAAAGATACAAAAGATTCGATTCCATAAAAGAGCCAAAAGTCACGTCACTTGATGAGACGGCTCTATCTATCTATAAAACCAGTGGCTCCCATCACTATCAAATGTTGAGTCTATTGGCTGATTAGTCTGACTACACCTCCAAATCTCAAAATGTTCTTTACCACATTGTGATGTCATGTAGTGGTAGTATTCAAGATTTTCACCTCTTACCTTTTGTTCAGTAGAGACTGGTAAATCTGTGACTGAAATTATCCAAATGATTCTAGTTAAGGTGTGTAGAGCACTTCCTGAGAGAATAATTCAGCCTAAATATGCAGGGTTTGTGAATAAAACAAAACACAACTCCAGGTCTGTTTGTGCCAAGGAAACAACATTATAACATAGAAAATTAGAAAAATAGCATAAAATAGCATAACATGGGCCCTTTAAGAAATCATAGCACTTCTTTTTTAATTTTACCTGAAAGTTCTTCTGTGTTAATATTTGACTGATGGATATTTTTTGCATAGATGGGCCAGATGGTTAGGCACAGGGTTTAAGGCAGTTTAATATGTCAAGAAATGGATTAGAGCATTCATTTTGTGCACTCAAGGGCTGCTATACTTTCTGAATTTGGAGGAAAATGAAGATGTACCTTTTTATTTGGGTGTGTTTTTGTAGTAATTGTTTTGGAGTATCTTTTTGTGACGTGGACATGTTGGGGCATGTATCTGTCTTATGGTGCTCTGACACATTGTGGTCTGACCTACTAATCTCGCTCAAACCTCACTTCACATTGGAATTATTTTTGGACCATAAGACTTGGATTATGCAATGACCAGTGTTCGGAAGGAACTGAATACATTTGCTGAGAATACGTACTCAGAATACACATTTTGAGAAACTGTATTTTGGTACAGTTACTGATTTCATTTGATAGTATTCTTAAAATGATTACTTTTCTAAATTCTGAGGAATACATTGTACTTGATCATACAGTTTAGGCTTTAATACTGCTCATAATTTGTGGTGAGTAGGGCGGGTATCATTGTATCATCAAGTGCTCGATACAATATATACCTCGATACATAGGCCACGACACGATACATATTTTCATACAGAGAGGTTTCTATTTTATATAATTCGACATGATGTATTTCACCAAAATTTCAGCCAAATTAACATCATTGGCTTAATATTTCACATCGATTTGATATGGTTCAATGAAAAAAAGGCTAACTCGTGGGTGTGATACTAAAAGTTTACTAAGTCCACTAAGTTAATATGAAAAACACCAATTTTACTCATTTAAACATTGAAAATATCAACACAATTTTACCTCTTACACAAAATAATTTTGTGAAATATACCAAACGTTACTCTTGGAGCTATATCGATACAGCAGCCTGCGATATAGATACTATATCAGCACATTAAAAAATACGATATATTGATATTTATGTATTTTTGCACAGCCCTAGTGGTGAGTGCATGTGTGATTTATCCTTCTTCAATTTGTGATCGGAAATGCTTAACAAACAGTGAAACAAATATAAAGCTGTTGTGAATCCTATGTTACGTTTTTTTACACTTTAATTTAGACATAACTTGATGTAAAAGTATTCTAAGTATTCAGAATACAGTACTCTGATTGGACCATGTATCAGAATATGTTACAAAATACATTTTAATGCAACTATTCAGTATTCTTTAACTAAATACAATTTCAAAGTATTCTTCCCATCACTGGCAATGACTTAAAATGTCCAATTACGATTTTTCTGATTTTAATTCAAAAGAGGATTGGTAATTGCAATAAAGCTATTAAAATGAGAACTATTATGAACAGTTAAGAGGTAAATAATAAGTTAATTCAACATTCCCTGGGTGTGTGATGCTAGCTCTAGGCACTCTTTTGTCTGAGGCTTTGTTAGATTTTTATGTGAACACAATCTGACTTAGCTGGAACTACATCAGGTGAGATAATTTGTGGTGTTAAACAAGCATTAGCCAGCAGTTTTTCAGTTAGTCACTCTCACCTTTTTGTTGAAAATCAAACAGCTGAACAGGACCATGAACACTCGTTTTGCTCACAGGCTCCTGAAAATCTGTTGTTTAAATCCATTTTGTATTTTTGACTATGTTTGCTAATGTGTGTATTGTGTCACGAAACATTCTCTCATTAGAAATACATGTAGAAAACCCCCAGCACAGTATTAGTATGTTATCCAAAAGGTAAACACATTCAAAATATATTATTACTTCATGAGATCTTTATTTTGCGCTTTTTCATAAAAGAACAAAGAGAAAGTGGTACAGAGAGTAATCGAACAATCTGTACTATTTGAGACTGACTCATACAAATGAAAGATTGATGCTTGGATTTGCTGACTTGGATTGCTAATATATCTAAAGTTAGACTTAGACAAACCTTATTGATCCACAAGGGAAATCATTTGGACACAGGAACTCAAATAAGTTGAGAAAATAGCAAGAGACTGGCGTCAAATAAGGCATAATTATATAAATGTGCATGTAAAAATATATATAAATATACAAAATGTAATGGTGTTCATTTATAGCAAGGTGTTTCTTTTGGATATGGCTGAATACTGTTCACTCTGTGTAAATGCCCCAGAGGCGACTAAAGCCTGGGTCTTTCCCCACACAATTGGACCACTCCTCTGGCCCGGACACACTGATCCAGCTCTTCTCGCTCTGTCCAGCCCCATTGGACCAGCTTCACTGACCTGTTAAGATCTGTTCTGATCAGAGGGTCAGCTTTAAATTTGGACCAGTAGATCCCATAGTTACTCATAGTTTTTTCACGAGAATACAGCATTTATTATCTTGAATCAAAATCAAATAAATCTTTCTGAATCTTTAAAGGCTTTAAAGGCAAAGCTGACTCTTGTAAGATGTTAAAATGTTGTTACCTCCTCAAAAACATACCCAGAATTTTGTTTTTTTTTCATTCACATATGTTTTGAATAATCCTGCATTATTAGTCTGTCTACATCTCCAAAGCTCAAAATGCTCTGTTCCAACTTGTGACATCACAAAGCGGTAGTTTTCAAGTTAACAGCTTTTTACCTTTAGTTCAGTAAAGATTGGCAATTCCAGGGCTGTAATTATCCAACTAATTCTAGTGAAGTTATCTGGACTTTAAAAAGACAATGGAGTATTTCCTGTATTACCAAATGACAGTACAAGGTGGAAGTGTTTTCAGTTTGAGAGAAGAACTCAGCCTAAATATGCAAGGTTTGTGTGTTAAACATGTGTGAATGAAACAAAACATGGATGAAGAAACAACATTATAACATAGATCAAAATATAGTGCAATATCGATCCTTTTAGCTGCAGTTTTGATGCCCTAAAACATACTGTACATGAGAGAAAATGTAAAAACTAAATATCAGTGATAGTAATATAAAGATGACCCAGCCTCTTCCTCCTAGTCTCTCCTTAATCACAAATGTCAAACAAGGGATGGAGCGGCTCAGTGTTGACACAAGTGCTTACTGAACTGCTCTGCCCTAGAAAAGAAAATATTTAGTGTAGCTTGAATTCCTCCTCAAAACACCTGTAGTGCTCGTAGACAGATTGGTGTGATGACTGTCGCTATGAAACAAGAGAGGAGCGTCTGTTACCTCAAGGCTAACATCCAAGTGTAAGTAGGCCTGTCACAATAACACATTTTAAAGTACAATATATTGCTGAAGACAATATAAACGGACATAGCTAACCTGCCTGCGTTTCTAATAGGAAGTGAGCATGGGGGCACTTCCAGTGCCAATTGACTTTACATTGAAAAATTGTTGCCCCTCTCTCTGTAACTGCTGCTGTGGGCTTCATCATTTGGGTCTTAAAATGTTTGTATTAACCTGCTCTACATGATACTGGTGTTTTTATTTCGCTATTTTGTCTGTAAATAAATTCCAATTCAGCTGCTAGCCTCTCTGAGCTTCATTTGACTGGAGCCAAACGGTATGGGTGACATCACACTCACTCAGTCCATAAATTTTTAATTGCAGCCTTTTCCTTTTCCTAAATTTGACCACTGAAATTGTGATTTGGATTCAATTGCAATAATCTTCCAGATGATGAAAATGCAACACTTTTTGGTTGCTAGGGCTCTGATCCAGATGGTGAGTGGTGCAGGGAGACAGATTACAGCTGACTGCCTTAAACTCAAACAGTGTTTGGAGGCTGTTTGTCCTCAAATCTGGATCCAGTCATTCTGTGTCCCATGTTCTGTGTCAGGTTTTCCCTGTATGACGAGCTTCTACTACACACTGACATAACATAACATGACATAATGTTATATTCACAGTACCTCCAAGGAAATCTTTAAGTCACTAACATTTATAAATGTTAGTAAATACAGAGGTTGACAGGTAATATAGATGATATTGTGATCTATTTTATTAAATGTAAGATAGAGCTGTCATACTGCGGAACATTCCAGGCAGAGTAATGACATTTCCATAGAAACAAGCAGATGACGGCCTCCCAACCAAAAAGTTACATAGTGCAACTTTAAGAAAAGGCATACGTTCTTGGAATTGAGGTTCGATTTCATCCTTTTTTCCTTTCCAAATGCTGCAATTTGTTATTCAAAGAGTGATTTTACTATCTTCTTGGGCATGACAAAACAGGTTACAGGTAAATTAAAGGATTAATTTAATCTGACATACACACTTTAATGAACCCATGTGCTCTTATAACAGTTTATTTTATTTGGCAACCCTGCTACAGTCTTTCCAGATTTTTTGTCATGGCCCAACCCTCATGGAACATCACCTCCCCTCACCCCCTATGTGCACTACCACACTTCTCGCTTGGCGCATGTTTATTTATGTGTGCGTCCCTTAATAGTACAATGTTCTCCACTGTTGACCTCTGTGTCTGATCCCGCTGTGGAGTCCAGCCCATTTCATTAGCATGTTGGAGCAGTGAGCCTGGCTTTAGAGGCAATATCCCTGTCAGCAGATTAATCTAATACCTCTGCATACACACAACACTATGGCCTGTACACAACCAATGCAACACAAAATAAACCAGACACTATGGGATGAAGGTAAAATATAGACATGCTAAGAGAAAAATGCTAACATCCCATGCTAGCTGGTTGTTTACAAATATACTATACAAGAGCATGTCTAATATTACCTCACTACGACCTACTTTCACTAACCCTGCTTTGCTTTTTGGCAATGACATGAACGCTGTGACTGAGGAGACAGCAGCTCCAATGGACCGCCGGTTATGGTTATAGGAGGATGGGCATGTTAATGTTGTATTGCGCAGGGGCAGTGACTGTGGTGTGGGTCACTAGTGATACACAACAGATAGTCTCAGGGACTTTATCTGTGTAGGTCCATGGCTAGTACTAGATGATGGTAAAAGCTGAAAGGGTCAAAAGTACAGCTCTTAGTGGAACCTGTGGTATTGTAAATCAAAACATACCTCAGCCATAACGTATTTTACTAATCACTGCATTTTACATACAGACTGTTAAAGTTAATGTTCAAATGGAGATGCAACACAAACCTGTATCAGACATAAAGCAGAGTTTGCGCACGCAGGAGTTATGTGTGTCAAAGGTCATTTGACACTACTGGCTTATCTGGTTAGTTGCATTTGTGTACTACAATGCATAGACACTGCTGAACTACTTAGCAAACATAACATGGGGGAATATGATCTTTTTATGCTCAAGTTAAGCTAGTATAATTTGAGTTATAGTTTTACATTAAGTCTTATCTCGTCATCCATGTAGCTCCATGTAACCTCAACACTGCCCTCAATGGTCATATACGCAACTGGAAAGGCCAGGTTACATGTAAACTTGATTCTACCAGAGAAATGTATGGAGTCCTGAGCTGACGCACGCACGTGCTGTGTGCTTAGCACAGCTGAAACATGCTATCAGCTGCAGCACTACTTTATCAGGCCACAGCAACAGGGCTGTGGAGGGGACAGAGCTGACATGTCTCACTCACAAGTGTCTGTAAAATCCACACACACTGTCTAATGTAACATACAGAACAGTGTGGCCCTGTGTGCTCTGGTGGTTACAATAGGAAAGTCTCAACAGACACTTTGTACCCGTGAAGACTTAAAGAGCTGATGAATATCATTGTGAATTTTTTTTTTTTTTTCCCTAAGCTAAGGCTTACATTGAGAGTAATGTGGGTGTGAATATGGCTACAGAGGCACCGGCAGCTGACTCACCTCTTTCCTTTGTGAGATTCAGCGCCTCCTGCTGGCTTCTCAGGGCATCACATCACATTCATTACTAGAACACGGAATACAAAAGTACACCATACATCTCTCTCTCTCTCTCTCATGAGAGAGAGAGAGAGAGAGAGAGAGAGAGAGAATATTATATAAATAAATTAAAATAAATGAAGTGAATGTATATATATATATATATATATATATATATATATATATATATATATATATATATATATATATATATATATATTTTTTTTTTTTTTTTTTTTTTTTTTTTTTAAACACTAGAGTGAACAATGACATTTTCAAAGCTAACCCTAATCCCTGTGTTTTTTTAGGATGGGACAAACACTCTTATGGTTACCACGGAGATGATGGACACTCCTTTTGTTCCTCTGGGACCGGACAGCCATACGGCCCGACCTTCACCACTGGAGATGTGATTGGCTGCTGTGTTAACCTCATCAACAACACATGCTTTTACACCAAAAATGGCATCAGTCTAGGTCAGTTATTGATAACTTTATATTTTTAAAACCAACCTAACAAATTTCAACAAACAAAACAAACAAAATTCAACATTTCTCTTTAATCCTGCAGGTGTTGCCTTCACCGACCTCCCTGTAAGTATTGTATGATATCAGTGTTGCATTATTTTTTTGCAAGCTTTTGATCTTTTAAAAACTCAATAACTGGGCTCCTTCTGTCAGTTTTGTGTGAATGTGGTCAGCTGGAGTGGTCAATGCAGAGTATGAGCAGCACTATCAGAAGCTTGACAAGTCTGTACAGCACATAAATACTAGTCTTTTATCTCGCATTTTGTGTTGTCAAGGTCAGGTTCAAGCTTGTTTCATCGACAGTTTAATCTGCCTTTTCACTTATGAAGAAGCTGTTGTACTTATCTATATACATAGTCACTGCACTTTGATGCACAGCACATGTCTTATCACCCCAGTAATCCACTTCTGTCTTCCAATCTACAGTTTGCACAGGACATGAACATATGGCTACATTAGAGTGAGACAATATAAAAATACATGATATAATACAATACCAAAGAGCAAAAATGTAAGTGGAAATAATAAATTCTGCCTAAGTAGCAAAATAGCAAGTGACTGGTGTCAAATAAGGTGTAATTGTATAACTAGTACTAGTATATGTGCAAGTAAATATAAAGGGGCGTATGGAGTGCAAAGATTATATAAATTAATGATACTATAGACTAACATATTAAATATCAGCTCTCCAAGGGGGTGTATTAAAACAAATTACGTTTCATAACATTATAACATGGCAGTTGAATGAAAAACTGTACATATATTTGGATCAGCATGTCCTCTCTGTGCATGAGAGGCAAAAACAACATGTGTAATTCCAAACAGATGTACCAAGTGTTTCCATGTGAGCCTGTAAGTTCAGACTGACACAGTACTGTATGTTACACAGGACCTGAGATCTTCCAGGCCTCCATTGTGTCCCACTGTGCTTTATTTTGGCTCTCGAGACTTTGGCACTTGAAAAACTCCGTGGTCACTGTAGCAGGGGCATTTTGCCGGAGAAAGCCTCTTTTACCATCCAACACTGTGTCAAGAATAGAACAGGGACAGCAAATCACAGTTGGCCTCCTGCCACAAGGCTGCACTAGCAGATGGAGTTACCAGCTGCTGTTAAACCTAACCAACATTTAACCAAGTGCTCATTTTTATATTGTGCCTTAGGCCTTTGTAATTATAAACTTATAAACCTAGTCTCATGTACGTGCTTACAAGAACTTGTAAAGAGCATCTCTTTAATATTACCAGGTGGTCTGCTCTGTTAAACTGCAGTAATGCCTTAACCAGTGAAACTCTAGTCAACTCTGGTTACGGTTATTTGGTGTTGGTTGTTTTTTGAGGTTGTTGTAATTTCCGTCTAAGGATAAGGACTTTGGTCTGTAATGAGGAATGCAAAAAATGCTTTATGGTCAATGTGCAGTCACAAGGGGTCAGTGAACAAATGTATTTATTTTATGTACTCATATTTCTTGCCTAAAGTATACTACATGAATGTATTTAAAACGGTGAGTCTGTAGGGGTCAAATAAATTTTAAAAATGCTCTTTCCAGCCAAACCTGTACCCCACTGTGGGCCTGCAGACGCCCGGTGAGATTGTAGATGCTAACTTTGGCCAGCAGCCCTTTGTGTTTGACATTGAGGACTACATGAGCGAGTGGAGGGCCAAGATCCACGGCATGATCGCTCGCTTCCCCATTGAAGAGCGACTGGGGGAGTGGCAAGGGGTTCTGCAAAAGTAAGCACATAGTCAAAGACAGCTGGACAATACATTATAATAATAACAGCATTAAAGATGCACTGCGCAGCTTTTCTCATAGAGGGCTGCCACCTGCTCATCTCCATGGAGATGTTATTACTTTGCCTGGAATGTTCCATGATATGAAACATATGCATCTAGTATTTATTCATCACGGGTATTTCTACTGCTAAAAATACAATAATTCCTTCTGTGAATAGAGGCGACTCTCCACAGATCTTAATTGTAATGATCTTAAATGTGCTGTTGTCTACTTGTCTCCCTTATACTATCCCTATACTGTGGAATATTCTAGACAAAGCAATAACATTTCCATGGAGACTAGCTGGTGGCAGACCCTCCACTAGAAATTTTACGCAGTATACCTTTAATGCGTGCGTTTTACTTGTGTTTTTGCACACAGTATGGTGTCCAGTTATCTGGTGCATCATGGGTACTATGCCACCGCAACAGCCTTTGCCAGAGCCACACAGACCACGATACAAGAGGACCAGTCATCGATAAAAAACAGACAAAGTGAGCCACAAACCACACCACCAACTTCTGCCCTGTCTGTATAATTACGCTTATTGTTTCTGAGGACACAGTGGCTTGACCACAAAGTCCAGAGTTCAGATATACTCTAAATTATATAATTGTATGTTTACTGAAGAACCTCCTATCGTTACACTGTACGTCTGATGCTGTTACAGGAATACAGAAGCTGGTGCTGGCAGGACGTGTGGGTGAAGCCATAGAAGACACTCAGCAGCTGTACCCAGGGCTCCTAGATCACAACCCCAACCTCCTGTTCATGTTGAAGTAAGACATTATCTTCTTTACAACTCATGCAGATACAGTGTACTAAATTACTGCAAATCATGTATTACTACTTTATTTTAACTTTTATTTAAGCATTTCCAAAGTTTAAAAAAAACATAGCACCCTTGTGACATTAGCCGTTTATTAATTTGAGTAATCTTTTTTTTTTTTATCATAATTTCTTAAATTGGCCATTGGCCATTTTTACCATCACATAAATGTTCACTGTGCTGTCCATTCATAGTTTCAATCAGTTGTTATGGCTTTCTTTCTTGCTATAAACATTTACAGCAATCATCTTTGAATAATGGGTCTAAGTATGCAGTCTGTGAGCCATTAGGTATTTTATAGTCAAATGATTCCTCCATTAAAGGTTTACTTGCTTTCATCCTCTTCAGGTGTCGTCAGTTTGTAGAAATGGTCAATGGTACTGACAGTGAAGTTCGGCGTTTGACCGTCCGCTCGCCCAAGTCCCAGGACAGTTACCCAGGGTCACCAAACCTCAGTCCCGGTCGTGGACCTAACAGCACACCCCAGCATACCAGAGGTACAGAACTCACACGTGTATACGCACATGTATACGCACATGCATATACACACATGTACACACATGTACATCTCCTCTGTCCCAGGAACAGACAGTCCCACCTGCAGTAACGGAGTGACCCCTCCCAACAAGACAAAGCTTCAGGGAGGTGTGGGCAGTAGCAAATATCCCAGTGCATCCTCTTCAGCCTCCTCCTCCACCTCCTCCTCCCCTTCATCTGTCAACTACTCCGAGTCCAACTCCTCTGATTCCACCAAAAGCCAGCCTCATAGCAACCAAGAGACAAGGTGAGCCCCTTCACACCTTTGTTTGTAAAGCACAGATGGTTTGACAAGTCCTGTTTCTCTTTTATTTGTAGTGACAGTGAGATGGAGATAGAAGCAGAGCACTACACCAATGGTGTGGTCGAGGGCTCAACTGCTCGAATCATGAATGGCACCTACAAACATGAAGAGATCCTCCAACCAGACGACAACAGCATCGGCAATGGGGTCATAGGTCAGACCTGTCTACAAGTTGTGAATGATGTGTAATTTTTATACACTACACTTCAGAGAAATCAGAAACTCTATTTACATTCTACCCCAAATATTTTAGATTAACAGAGAGGGCTCTTTTTGTCTTTTTGCATTTGAGAAAACTGTTTATTGTGTTTAATGTGAATTTAGAGTGCTATTGTCACCACAAGGTCTTATTCAGTGGTAGTGTACATGTCCAGTTTGTCCAATCATAGTTGTAGGGAGTGTGTTGTGGTGTGCTGACCTGTGCTGTCCATCAGACACTGAAGAGTGCAGTAATGGCCGACAGCTGTGTGGAGGAAACCAGGCAGCCACTGAGAGGATGATCCAGTTTGGACGAGAACTGCAGGCGCTCAGTGAGCAGTTATGTCGAGAATACGGCAAGAACAACACGCACAAGAAAATGTTACAGGTATGAATAATATCTGTCTATTTATCTGTCTATCTATCTATGAGGTGCTGCTTTCTTTTAATAACCTTATTGCATTTGAAAATACCTGTAAGTTATATACAAAAGTGTCTCTTTACAGTATTTACAATGTGTTGGTTTAATGGCTCTCAGCTGATGTGGTGCTTATTCTTTACTTTATGGCACATAGCCATTTAGAGTTGATAATGATTAAAATGAAAAATAAAAAATATGTTCTACATTCAACTTCTCCAACCCACTTTTTCCTGTTAATAATATACCAGCTGGGAATAATTGCTTTAACTTTTCTTTGCACAGCGTTAAGAGTGAAGATCTTAAAAGCAACGCCTGGGCAAGACACCATCTTTTATGATTCAGTTTTAGGTTTGGTGGTCGCCAGTGTTGTGCAAGTTCACACTTTTCATGAACTAGTTCAAAGTTCAGTTCACACTTGTTCAAAGTGAATAGTTCACATTCATAGTTCACAATTTTAATTTTGAACTAGTTCAAAGTTCAGTTCATTTTATATTTAGATGAGATCTGTAAATGAAAGGCTGCATTTATTTTTCAAACTGACTTCTAGTTTACAACAACTTTACAAAATACACTGTTGGACAAGTGACTTTAAAACTGTAATGTGTTATTTATGACTTGTTACTGTCATTTCAAAGTCATTTGTTACATTACAATATTACTGTATTTAAAATGTAAAACATTACATGACTATTGCAGCACTTTTAATTTACTCTCACCAAAAGAACTGTTAAGATGCTGAACTTTTGCGCCGTATATGGACTGAACCAGGTCTAAACCAGGACTAAAACAGAACTGAACCAGGTCCAAACCAGGTCTAAACCAGGACTAAACCAGGTCTAAACCAGGTCTAAACCAGGACTAAACCAGGACTAAACCAGGACTAAACCAGGACTGAACCAGGTCTAAACCAGGACTGAACCAGGTCTAAACCAGGAATAAACCAAGACTAAACCAGGACTGAACCAGAATTGAACCAGGTCTAAACCAGGACTGAACCAGGTCTAAACCAGGAATAAACCAAGACTAAACCAGGACTGAACCAGAATTGAACCAGGTCTAAACCAGGATTGAACCAGGACTGAACCAGGACTAAACCAGAACTGAACCAGGACTAAACCAGGTCTAAACCAGAACTGAAACAGGACTAAACCAGGACTAAACCAAGACTAAACCAGGACTAATCCTGGACTAGAACGTGGAATCTAGGACCGCCCCTGAGAGAACCCCGAGTGCGAGCGGGCGTCAGCTGCGTTTAGTTCGGTGGACTTCTGCGTCGGTCCTTTCGCTCAGGATCACGGTCTACTCGGGCGCACCTCCGGTGTTTCACCGCTGCTGATATCGCGGTGATTTTAGCAAATTTGTATGAAGAAAAACGAAAAACCCACCATTTCAATCCAGGTTAAAAAAGCATTAAGACGCGCGTTACTGACACATGTACCAAGTAAAATAATACGCGCGCGGAGCAGCACGTCCTGTGCGTGTAGATTTCAGAAAATAGGATCCATCCTATTTTTTGACGCTCTACACGAGCGTAGGCGCGTATCCCCGTCAAAATACACAGAGAGCATGAATCTATTGTTGTATTTGTGCATTTACCATCAGCACATTGTGCTCCCTGGGCAGTTGTGTATCATGTGAAAGAGCCCAGATCCACATAGACTGTTAATTAGTGCTTTGAAATTTACTTTTGAAATCCTTGCGTTTGCCGTGGTCAGCCTGTACAGAAGGTAAATACAAGCAGCTAAACGCGCCCAGTCAAGATTGACTTCCCATTGAGAGACACAAGAGCCCGTACGTTCCGCTAAAGCTGCCGGTGGAGTCGCCTTCGCGTTGACACGCGGCTGTGGTTTCACGAGGTGAAGTGCGAGCAGATCGTCACTCGTCAGGTGAAAACAAATTCCGACGTTTAACTGAACCCCAACAGTGACGTACGTCGTTCATCACACATAATTTGAACAAATTCACGTTCAAGTTCTTGATTTACAAAAGTGTTGCGTTCAGTTCAAAGTTCACTGAAAAATGAACGTGTTCAATGAACGCGTTCTTTTGAACTCGTTTATGCACAAGACCGCCCTTAGGGCCTTGTAGCTACCAATAAGCACCACCAAGTGTATTATATTTGCACTTTTTGTTTATGTCTTCATACTGTTGTGTTTTTTGTTGTTGTTTAAGGTTGTTATTAATTATTGTATCTTATGTGTATTTTTTGTAAAGGATGCTTTTAGCCTGCTTGCTTACTCCGATCCGTGGAACTGCCCCGTTGGACAGCAGTTAGATCCCACACAGAGAGAGGCACTCTGCTCTGCACTCAACAGCGCCATACTGGGTAAGCAGAACACTCAATAATAGAAGAAACTTGGTCTGGGATATTCTTAGTCTGCACCACTTTGTCAAAAGAAACTTGAAAACTACTTTAAGATATATATGATTGAACCTATTTCACACTAAAAGCTGAAAGGGCAAGAAAATGATTGCACCAATTGCTGCCTTTTCTGTTACAGAACATGGCTCAAGTCAAAAATAGCTTTTATAAATGAACAATGACTAATATATAAACTTAATAAAATATATTATTATTAAACACTTAATTATGAGTAGGGTTTTCCTAAACATTCTCTTAAAATATTAAACTATTCTTTCATCTAGGCTTAAAAAGTGCCTGTACTGTTCTACTGACCCCACAACCCCGCGTGTCTCTTCTGTTATATATGTATTCTGTGTGTGTTGTGTAGAGTCCCAGAACCTGCCAAAGCAGCCCCCCCTGATGCTGGCGCTGGGTCAGGCCACAGAGTGTGTGGAGCTCATGGCCAGGGTCCGCTCCGGCTCCTGCTCTTTCGCCAGAGTAGAAAACTTTTTGCACTAGCCCATGGCCAGGTGAGACATGCATTACACCACTATAATTACAGACTTTTATTTAGATCATTCATTATTAAGCTTGATGGCTAGATAAAAATCATATTTGATCATACACATTTTTAAAAAAGATGATGGAACCATAATCAATATAAGCTGTAAAAAAATTTGACATAATTTAAAAAGTATAGTGTGTTTACGTGGCTTGTTTTTGGACCTTTTGATTTTAAAGATTGACTTTGATCCTTGGTTTATGAATCACAAACAGACTGACCACACAGCTGTGCAGATGTGCTGTAACTGTAATAATCTTGTGTGCCTAACGTACAGTACACGATCCGTGTGTTTTCCAGGGTAACATAAAGTAGCACTGAGAGAGGGCATGTTCAGCAGGTAGTTACCATGACGAGGAAGGAGCAAGCATGTGTTTTGATTGGCGCGTTTGACATCACGTCAGACTACGCCTCACCGGAGGAGCGCTGGAGAGCCGTGAAGAAAGTCTCCTTTTTAATTTAGTATTATCAAATAAAATGTGTGACACTATTTAAAGATCATTAATTATTATTCTGTTATCTAGCTATTTTTAGTTATTTTATGTCAGTTTGTTGTGCTTATCCTGGACAATTTTACAAATTGTAATGGCCCTATATTTTCTCTTCTCCAGGAGCTGGAGATGATTCCCTAACACCAGTATTTAACTTGTTCACCGTGTCACTGACCACAAAACCTGTAGCAGCCTTTTATTGTTCAACCATTTTCCACATTTCACAGAAGACCATATACTTTTCTATGTTGATTATGATTAGTCCATTATTGGACTGCATCAGGGACTTCTTTTAGCTTAAAATTTGCCCAGTAAATGGGTTATTTTCATAGATCTACAATTTGACTTTTTTCTTTTTATAAATCTCAGGATGATTTGAGAAATTTAAAATGTCCTTATTGCGCAAATAATTGATTGCTTGGTCTTAAGGCCTGTATAAAAAGTATACCTCATAAGTGCTGAAAAGCTGGTGTGAAAAGCTTAAATTAAAGGTGTGGGGGCACTAATTTAACTTTGGGTGTTACTGTCAGCCAATCAGTGATGTGGATGCAGGTGGCAGGGGGTACAGCTACACCTATAACTCTCCACTTCTAACACTGTGTCCCCTTATCACCTGCATAAAGTAAATCAGGCTGAAAGGCAGACTAACAAGCTCACTGTATGTCTGAATAAGGCAAAGTTCTTGTGTAATTCTATAGGTGCAGACTTATTTAAGTATATACAGTACCTCTGGAACTAGGTATTTGATTACACGCATTTCATAATTATTTTGACAATTCAAAACACAGTCAGTGAGGTCACGTATTCAGTGCAGAAACACACTGAATTACCCAGAATGCCAGGCTATATTTAGATGAACAACAATAGACACTTAACACAGCCTCTGCATTGCATTAAAAGGCAGTTGTTTTTCTTTTTGCTGTTTGTTTTTGTGTGCAAATTAATTGTTACACACTCAACAAACTTCATTCAAATGACTAGATAAACATCTTTTTTCCATGCTAAGTGCACTCCCAAATATTTTTATATAATAATATGGTAAATTACAGCCCTTGAGTGTGTGAGTTCACTATGAGGTCGCTACAGGGTTTGTGGTCAGACTTAACCAAGCTGCTTTTTAGATCAACAACCTCTGAATGTCTCTACACACATTAGTACAACAGTGTATGCTTGTAGGCCTGTGTGTTGTTTTTTTTACATTGTTGTACCTGAAAAGAAATCTGAAATCAGTCTCCCAGCTCTCCGTTAATTTTTGAGGCTTGGACACAGCCGTGGACTGGATCAGGAGGAGGACCCAATGATTGATGTAAACTTATAAGGAACAAAGTCACAAAGTCTCTGAAGCCAAAAATGGACTTCCTACAAAAGAGGTCACAGAAATGTAAAGTGCATTGTCAGACCAAGCTGTGCACAATAGTTTTAATTTCATGTTGAGTTTTAGCAAATCTATCTCTCTCTATACATATATATATATTAAAAATGTGGGGGGTGTGAAATGAATTACTCTACACTTAGCATGACCTTTAAAGTTGAAAAACAATATAAAAACTGAAAAAGATTATAGAAAAAAGTATGTACTGGAAACATGTTAAAACAAATATTCTGCTTAATTTTGACAGAATTATTTTTATTAAAATACATCCTTAAACTATTGGCTTACTTTGTCTTTTTTTTAACTCATTTTGTGCTGTTGTGTATTTTAGCTTCATGTAAGTTTAATCAAGTCGGGAAATGGTCAATAACGGATTTTATTTAAAACATAATCTGGACTAAATTTGTATTAATAAATTTGTTTTCCTATTTTAAATAAAAATGCACAATATAGACAAGAATTTGAGAATCAAATAAACTTCACATGGGCATTTTTTTCCAATATGATTTAAATTTTTTGCTAACTCAAAATCAAGGCATTAATTTACAGCTAAAGTAATTAAATAATTCGTGCATAATCATTAAATAAACAACATAGGCTGAACTCCAATATTGTCTAATATTTTTGGCCGGTAGGGGGCGGTAAGCTTCTTCTATAGTCTGACATTAATTGGCTTCAAGGTTCAAGGTAAGTTATCAGCTGTAGAATGTGCTGGGAAATGTTTTTTTTTTCTATTTTAGTGAATTTATTAGAAAAGGAAACCAAGTACCCAGTCTTAACAGAGCTATGGAAAATCCTATAGCTCCAAAAGGATTTGCATAACCTACATTTCTATATGATACGTAGATGTATTTGTGTCAATGCAGCAGCCAAATCACTTCACTCACTTCATTTCTGGCATTGTGTGCTTTTGTTGCGTCCTTGAGCAAGACTCTTCAACCACTTTTTATGTGCAAGAAGCTGACCATCACTGAGTACAGTTATGGCAATTTAATGGGCACTTTTCTATTATAAAAACAGCAATTATTTACCTTATCCTCACTTGAACCTTTTTATGAGTCTTCTAGGGAAAATAGCAGGAGCTGTTCTCATGCGTTTATCATTCCTGTCTCTATAAACGACAATTTAACTAGTTCTGATCTTTTATTCCATCTTGCATTTGCAGTTATAATTGATTAAACCTGCCCCATAAAACAGTGGCTTCCAACTTTTTTTGTCTTGAGTCTCCCCTAAGCGTTGTCTCACACTCTTGAATACTCCTATTAACAGTGCTGGAGTTTCTTTAGTTATTTTAAGTACATTTACCAGTACAAAGTCAATTAAAACTATTATATTTTCTTGTTTTAAAAATGTTCAAATATCATTCAATACCATCTTTCTAAGTCTTGTTCACATATCCCCAGGGGTCCCCTTACTGGTGTCAGGTTCAGCGTGTCAATTTAGACAAATCAAATCATGTAGTTTATAAATTCAATTAATTTACTGGACATTGCTGGCCCAGAAAAACTATTATTATTATTATTATTATTATTATTTACTTGGCTGTTGAATAAAAAAGAACTGCTTGTGATAAGTCATTGATGAATAAAGGAAAGAAATATGTAGGCCTACTTTTAGTCTCTACTTTCTAGCCTACTTAAAGAACCACAGCACTGATATATATAAAAAAAATAAAAAATAAATAAAAAATGGATTGCGAATATTGCCTGGGATCCAGAAAACACACTTGTACAATATCTCTGTATAAATCACAGTGTGTCTGGACTTGTCAGGCAATAGTGAACATCCATGTATTGATTTACTTTTAATACTTATGGTGAATTTGTATTAGTAAAGGAAAATAAAGTGTTTCATGTGATTTTGTATTTGGCTGTGGCTCGTGCTTGGTAGCCTATGCTGGGGTCACAAGTACCCCATCCTTTTAAATCTGGTCTGAGTGGGCACACAGCTACCTGGGGCTAGGTAAAATATGAGAAATTTGGCATGTTAATGAAAATAAATGCATCATTAGTAACACAAAAGCCCAAGGACATGCTGAATGCGCGCTGCCCTCTGCGGCCTAGAGGTTAGCGGTTCAAAAACCTGTTTTAAAACGAGCGTTTGGGGGGACGGAGCTGAGCCTGTAATTATGCGCGAGGTGGGCTTTCTTTTCTCTGGAGTATTTTTGGTCACATACTACGCCCCGCAGCAGACATTTACGCCGCGCTCCCCGAGACCTCTGGCCTTGGACAATTGGGGATGGGGTCGGAACATGCAGACGCAGTTGCCATGACGCTGATCACCGTGGCAACGCTCTACTCCACAACTTCCTAACGCACTACGCGCTTTTTATATATTGCCCAATCACTCTAATGCATATTCATAGTCACATGCGAGTCATCAGGGACATATTTTATCAATCTATCGCTCTGTCCTTCTATGGTTTTTGGCTTGACTAAATAGTAATTACTCTGAGGCCAGTTGAAGGATGCAGCGCGTGCTCTCAGCTAGATTGTAATGGGTTCATAAGCGCTGCTGATTGAATTGATTGCCACAGTTGGAGTCGGGGCTGCGATGTGGAATATGCAGCGCCGAACATTAATCAGCTCACAGGAAAACAGGCGACAGCTTTGGACTTTTTTATTTCAATACACTTGTAAATGTACACATATCATACAGTCACTTTGTGCCTTTAAACATACAGGAGACACGTTTTGTATTAAAAGAAACTTACCTTTTACCATGCATGGGTCAATACTTAAAAAGTCCAACAAACAAATACATAAAGAAGCTACATAACAAAATATTTAAGAAGCTTAAATTGGCTTAGTCCTAGTTTAGACGTCATTTAGTCCCTTTTCAGTCCTGATTTGGTCTCTGTTTAGACCTGGTTAAGACCTGGTTTAGTCCCTTTTAAGTCCTGGTTTAGTCTCTGATTTAGACCTGGTTTAGTCCTTTTTTCAGTCCTGGTTTAGTCTCTTATCAGTTCTGGTTTAGTCTCTGGTTTAGACCTGGGTAAGATCTGGTTTAGTCCCTTTTCAATCCTGGTTTAGTCTCTGGTTTAGACCAGACCTAGTCTCTGGTTTAGTCCTGCATTAGACCTTTTTCAGTCCTGGTTTAGTCTCTGGTTTAGACTTATTTTAGTCCTGGTTTAGTCTCCGGTTTAGACCTGGTTTAGTCCCTTTTAAGTCCTGGTTTAGTCTCCGGTTTAGACCTGTTTTAGTCCTTTTTCAGTCCTAGTTTAGTTCTCATTTATAACAAAACAAATTCATACATTCTTTACCAATTAGGCCTTAAAAGTCAACTATTTTTTACATCAGCGTTCTGCATTTTACAGTCGTCATATCAAAAACAACAAAAATCTACTTTAACTACTTCTGGTTGTGTCAATGTCATAAAAGTCAATTTATAAGGCATTTGCTGTTTCACCAATCCAAGCCCCCAGGAGTCTGCATATACCCACAGGCCATGATTGTAATTGTAGCAGCTATATGGATGCTGGCAGCTACACGCAGATTGAAGTCTTGCCGTTAAAGGGGAGTGTATGTGTGTGTGTGTGTGTGCGTCTGACACAGTGAGGTAGACTGTGACTTGTTGTCAAGAACTGAAATGTACAACAACAAAATCACTAGTCTTCCATAATGTGTCACGCCAAAGCAGACGACTGAGCGCGAAGGAGCCGTTCAAAAAAAAAAAAAAAAAAAAAAAGCTTCGGAAAATTTGAGAGGCAAATATGGCAGAAACACGGCGATTCCCAGTTGATTTTGACCGTCCATTTCATCAGAACCAATATGTCGTCAAGTTTTACAATCAGGACGCTAAAAACACTTTCAAACACACTGAAGAATAACTTACACAGACATTTAACGATCCATTTTATGTACTAGACAAGGGAGTCAATTAAACCACAAATAAACAATCTTTCAAATAACACTTCACCCAATATTACATCTTATTGGCCTCTTCATTATGACTTGCTTAAATGTGTTTATCACAATAATCAAATGTACTTGTGCATAAGTATTCGACAATATTGGCGTTGGAAAGGTCTGAAAGAGAAAACAACACAAGTGAGACGAGGCAACCGTAATAGATTGTCATTAGTAGCCATCACAACATCTGCTATAGTTTGATGCACTAATTATTGCATCTATATACAGTACAATATTTGTTAAAGTGGCTGGGAATAGCTGTGGGATCGCTGAAGCTGTAGTGAGATGCTTTAATAACAAAGAAGGACATGGGTTTAAGCTCATAGGATTGGTTCTTCAAGCTCTGCCAATAACACAGGATCCAGGCAAGAGGAGGGACACAGCCACACCGAAAAGCACAACAAATAGACTGTAAACATGGGAAGTATGGGAGATAAGTTAAAGGCAGGAAAGCAGCAGTGAATCCAAATGTGATATGAATAAACGAAATGAAGGCGGACTGATAAAACGGCGAAAATGGGAAGGAATGGCGCAATTGGCAGTGAATAAAGCAGGAGATAACTGTTTTCATGTTATTCAGGCCAAACATCAGACACTATTTGTGGATGCAGGTTGTGTTGTGAATGACAAATATCCTGTAAATGAATGATAATGGCTTGTTTAGCTGTAGCCCGCCCACAGTGCCTCTGCTCCCATCCTATTTCCTGTTAATATCGCAGGCTCCGGCCTCGCTGACCCCTCCACCGTTCTTCTATTTCTATTAATCTTTAATGGTGGGTAAACGGCCCCGCACCACACACGGCTCTCCCTCCTCATTACAGCCCCAGAGGGAAGGGCCAGCGAAAGACAACACTTGTATATCACAAAGCAGTTCACATAAGGACTCTAAATTGCATGTTTGGAGAAGCTGGTCTAATACATTTTAAAAGATATTTTCAAAAAGCCTGTACTGACACTTGAAACTTAAAGCTGCACAGTGCAACTTTTCTGGTGGAGGCTTCGCTACCTGCTGGGATCCATGGAGATGTTATTGCTTACCCTGGAATTAGACTTAGATTTAGACAAACTTTATTGATCCACAAGGGAAATTACTTGGACACAGTAGCTCACCCGTCATATTATAATAACAAAGAGAAAAAATAAAAAATATAGTAATAAGGACATTTTCAGGAGATACTGAGACCTGCCTCTACTCTCTCAAGCGCTCAGGTCAGAATGAATGTTCCATGGTATGACATTAAATATTTCCATCTAGTATTTAGTCATTATGGGTGTTTCTGTTGCTCAAAAATGCAGTAATTCCTTCTGTGAATAGAGGTGACTGTCCGCAGATATGAATTGTAATGTAGCATAGTGCTGTAACCTGTA